AGTTTATTTACAGTAATAATTATTATTATTATTATTGTAGATTTAACAAAATATTTTCCTAACCTACTTATAATATTTGATGTAATATAAATAAATATTTGATGTGATATTTTTAAATATTAAATTAATTTAAATATAATATAAAAAATATATTTGTTTGCATTTTTAATTTGAGATATGTTTTAGCTTATGAGAAGTGTTGACAATATTAAAAAAAATTTGTTTAATTGTTAAATTTTTATAAGTTTGTAGAATATATATATATATTATGTTGATGTATATATATTGTATTTTTTTAATAATACTAATTTGAGAGCACATCAAGAAAAAATTTGTTGGGGGTGTTGTTTATTTAATATTTTGGATGAGAGAAGCAATAAATGATGAATATGAATTTATATTTTTTTTCCAAAAAAAAAAGGTTACATGTGTGTTTATGTGAGATTTTGGTTTTGATTTTTTATTTTATATAGTAAAATAAATCTTGATATTTTGATTGTAAAATTAATTTTTAGTATAGTATCGTAAGTTAAAAAAAACAAACATTTGATTTAATTCTTCTTAAAAAAAACTGTAAAACTATTTCAAAATCACACAAGCGCTTTTGGTGTTTAAAAATATTTTGTATTTTCATTGGCAGTTATTGAGAATTGTATTAATATTATTAAACTGTTTAATTATATTATTTTGTAAGAAAATTATAATATATTATTTCTTCTGTTCAGAAAATTTAGTCTCATTTTTTATATATATATACAAAGAAATTAGACTAAATTTGACGGACAAGAAAAATATTATGAGTAACGGTGATATTATTTTGTGAAAAAGAATAAATTCATAAACTCATCTATCACATTTATTATTATTAATAAATAAATTAAATTTATGTTTCATTTTTCATATTTATTTTTGGAAGAATTTTATGTAAAATGTTATTGAAATTAAAAAAATTAAAGTCTTATTTTATTTAATTACTTTTAGATTATTAATATTAGTTTTTTTTTTTTTTGTTAAGTGATTACTATTTTACAATTGATACCATTTTTTTCCAAAATTAATTTCAAAATATAATTCAACATAAAAAAATATTTTTATTTTTATTTTAATATTTCACTAAATAAAAATACTTGAAATAACAATACATTATAAACATTATACAAATTAATCAAACTAATAAATCATCTATATATTATTTCTTAAACTCAGTACCCAAAAGAAATTGGACTATTTTTATTTGTCGAGTGTAAACTTTTTACTATTTTCAAATTTTCTAAAACTTCAGCAACCCTTCGTCGAGACATAATCTCAGTGCTTTCTTCACTTGTACTCTGGCAATCGTCATACAGGATCCAAAATCAATTTTAATTGTGATAATCGTCATACAGGATCCAAAATCAATTTTAATCGTGATAGTCGTCATACAGGATCCAAAATCAATTTTGCTCGTGACAATCGCCACACAGCATCCAAAATCAAATTTGAAGTGGCAATCGTTACACAACATCCAAAATAAATTTTGCTCGTGGCAATCGCCACACGACAGCCAAAATAAATTTTGCTCGGACTTGCTACACTTTTCGACACACCAATAGTGCTAAGCATAACAAATTGAGTTCCCTTGCCGTAGTCTCTGTATAGCCTCACCATGTTTGACGCCGTTGAAATATCGGGAACTACCCTACAAAGCTTTTTCCCCAGAAAATGCACTCTTTCGAATTTGATGATTCCTTTCAAGGTTTTTTCTTTTTGTGTTCTCAAGTCTCCAAGGAGTTGTCCTATTTATAGAGAAACAAAACAATACATGATGCTTCTAAAGGATTGGTCAATTATACGTGGCTATATAGTGAAACAAAATAGTTAGTTACAAAAAGATGTATTAAGGGGCGAAATCTCGCGGACTTTTGTGGTAAGTTATTGAAAATTTACGATTCAACAGCTTTTAATTTATGCGTAAATAATTATATTGGTAGTAGTTGCAGCGGTCTCCTACAACATTAAATATTCAAAATTCAAAAATAAAATAGAGAACACGTCAATCGATAAATGTGTCAATAATTACTGAAAACTTACCATTCAACAACTTTTAATTGATGCGTTAATAATTATATTGGTAGTTGTTGCAACGCCCTCCTCCAATATTAAATATTCATAAATAAAATCGAGAACACGTCAATCGATATATGCGTCAATAATTATTGAAAAGTTACTATTCAACAACTTTTAATTTATGCGTCAATAAGTATATTGGTAGTAGTTGCAACTGCTTCCTACAACATTAAATTTTACAAAATATTATCGAGAATACGTCGATCGATATATCATTTTACTAAGAGACAAAATTTCTGTGAGCAAAAAGCCTCAATTTCGGGAAAAATCTTGAAAATTTTTGTGTTAGGTTATTGAAAAGTTGCAATATTATACTCTCCATAAAAATATGTTTGTTTTACCATTTTAGTATATACTCATACTTTATTTAGTAAAATAGTTCAATTTTACATCAAATATATTTTAATTCAAAAATTATATTACTTAGGCATAAAAGTTTCAATTTTTACTCCTAAAAAGGTAAAAAAATATTAAAATATTACTCCATCCGTCCCACCTACCATGACTACATTGTCGTTTCTGTCCTTTCCGCATCCCATGTCACTTTTCTTTTTTAGAAAATGATTATACACTTTAATCTCATTTTACATTTTCTAATTTATTTTTTTTAATTTTAATTAAATTAATTAGTTATCTTAATTTTAATCTATAATTATAGGATAATTATTTTCACTAATACATTTTAATTATCTACTAATTATATTATTCTAAATTCTCGTGTCTACAGTGACCCAGACATCCAACGTGACAATAAAAGCTCACGAGATTTCGTCCGTGGTTGCAATTTTATAAATTTAAATTTGTTAAATCGTAACTTTTCAGTAAAGTATAACAAAAGTTCAAGAGATTCCGCCTATCAGTGTACTTTTATAAAATTAATTGTTATGTTTCAGCAACGGACAAAAGTTCACGGGAGTTCGCCCATCATTATAATTTTATAAATTTAAAGTTGATAAATAATAACTTTTCAGTAATGTACAACAAAAATTTGCGAGATCTCGCCGGTCATTGTATTTCTTGCAACTGCCTATTTTGTATCGCCATAAAGTGACATATAAATTGACCTATACTTTCTAGCTATATGTATAGCAGCATCCATCCTTGGTTTTGTACTTTAATTTAACCAACAACAAACTCATTATGTGTGTTATTTTATCAAATATTACAAAATTTTTATTATTGATTATTCTTTTTTTCAAAAATATCAAATTAAATATTTATTTTTTATTTTCTTTATTATATTAAAAATTAATTTTACATTCAAAATATTACATCGCACCTATTTATAACCTTCAAATTTTTATGTCAAAAATTTATCTTTGTAATACCTACAATTGCCTTCTGTAACATTTAATATTTATAAATAAATAAAATATTTTTAAAAACTCGAGACTATCTCAATTGATATTTTTTATTTTACTTACAAAAAAGGTTTGCATTGCCTGTCAGTGTAATTTTATAATTCAAATTTGTTGAATGTAACTTACCAATAACATACAATGAAAGTTCACAAGATTTTGTCCGTCATTATAATTTAATAAATTTAAAGTTGTTGATCGTAATTTTTCAATAAAGTACAGCAAAATTTGGCGAGATTTTGCCCATTATTGTAGTTGTATAAATTTATAGTTGTTGAATCATAACATTTCAATAACAAACATCAAAGTTTGCGAGAGATTTCTCACTTCATTATAATTTAATTAGTTGAAACGTATGTTTTCAATAATGTACAATAAAAGCTCACGAAGTTTCATCCGTAGTTGCAATTTTATAAATTTAAATTTATTAAATCGTAACTTTTCCGTAAAGTACAACAAAAGTTCACGAGAAGCCTATCATTGTACTTTTATAAAGTTAATCGTTACGTTTCCAATAACGGACAATAAAAGTTCACGGGAGTTTGCCCATCATTATAATTTTATAAATTTAAAGTTGATGAATAGTAACTTTTCAGTAATGCACAACAAAAGTTTGCGAGATTTCGCCGGTCATTGTATTTTTTTATTTTTTTTGCTTGTATGGCAGTATCATCTAGTGTCTTTTTCTCTATAAATAGGACAACTCCTTGCAGACTTCGACATAACACAAAATGCAAAACTTCGATATTCGGTGTTGGCTTTGAAGCTCTCCGCTTAGTCGTCTATCATCTCCGCAAAGTAGTTTTAAAGCATTGCCTTCATGTCTTTGAACTTCAAATGCATATTTCAATTCCCATATTGACGTCATGTTTCGGGTTTTTCTTAGTTCAAATTTCTCCATTTGGCATAAATCATTTCTCAAGAACCTCAACTTTCATTGGAGTTAGCTCCCTCACCTTAGACATGAATCATCAAATACAAATGAATGTTTTTTCTAGTAAAAAGGCTTTGTGTGATGAGTTGATAATTGAGTTCAGGAGAGTAATATTTCTGCAGTTCTTGGCGATTTCATCCTTGTCGAAGATGGCGACACTCTACAAAAACTACTGCAGCCCTAATCGATTCTTCTCCAAAATTGCATGCAAAAATCACTTTTCCATCCAAACTTGCAAAGAATCGACATCAGTCTTTTCTTCCACAATGTTGGATGAAATCCTCCATCTTGATTAGTAAGTGTTGCTCAAAAAAACTCTCTTAACGTTTAATTGTTCATTTATTTCACCCTTGTAATATTTTCACAATCATAAACTCTTCAAAGCAGTGGCAATTCGAAGAACATAGGCAACAAATGAGGGACAAAACCAGACTGATAATCCCTGGATGGAAAGCAATGAACTATTCGAATCTTGCTCCACAGCATGGTAATTTTCTATAAGTTTTTTAATTAATTATGCTTGGTTTTTTCCTCAAGTTCGACTCAAATGATTGGCCTAATTGATTAGTAATAAATCTTTGTTTGTTTATGTTGGATTGTAGCATTCGTTCGGGTAATTTCAAGGAGGAATGGATTTGTTGCAAAGCCATTCTACAGAAAGCACTATGGGTGGCCACAAGATGTATATACAATACAAGAATGGGTGGTAGATGAAGAAGAATATTGTCTAGTGAGAGAGAGATTATATCGAATGGGTTGATTTTGATATATATGGTAGTTTGAAGACAACTTTAATTTTGTGTATCTTTGTATCTCAGGTGTGTTTGGATGTGGGAATCGAGTTTGGGTTGGAGTTGAGGTTAGGAATGAGAAATAGATGTTTGATGCGACGCTGTGAATGTAAAATTAATTTCTAGTACTCCTGTCTTAATTCAAAATATATTTTTTTTACCATTTCTCATTTCGAATATCTCTTTCGTAAAAAATAATCATACAGTAATACGAAAATATCTTTTAACTTTTACTTAAACTACAAATATATAATTACACGTATAATTACTATACATAAAGTCAAATGGAAAAAATGTCAAAAACTATTACACACTTCTACTGATTAATAAAATATTATTATTTCTTAATCTATTACTGAAAATCTAAAAGACCCTATTGAATTAGAACTTATGGAGTATAATATAAAAATAAAAAAAAAATGAATGATTTTGTAACAACTAGACATATTTTGGTATTTATATATGATTATTTTTACTATAATTAAAAATAGATACTTTTGAGTGAAATAAAAAGATAATACTCCCTCCATCCCATAACTATATATTTGTTTGCTTTTTACACGAAATTTTAAAAATATTAGTATTATATTGAGATGTAGTATGAATAAAGTAGAAATTACTAAAATAACTTTGTTAAGTATTGTGTGATAGAAATGTAACGACATTTGTGTAATATATTATAAGTTATAAGGGTATTAATGTTGAATAGATAGTACACTTACTAAAAAGGAAAGACTAAAATGAAAAAATAGATATTTTGTTATGGAACGGAAGAAGTAAAAAAAATACATTAAGTAAAACCGAAAAAAGTATTACCTTATAATATTTTGCATATCTTAGGTTAAAACATTATAGGTTGGTTGATTAGTATTTTCTTAATGACACGACCTCTATAAATATTATTAAAAAATTATAATATACACAACAATAAAATACATATATATATATATATATATTACCCATTCACAAAACATCTACTATTCAATCCAAAATATCACAAAATGAACCTATGTACAAAATACAAATATTCAAAATTTAAAATTTAACCCTAAACCCCAACATCATCTTTTCAATAAAAACATCAAAAAATTCTATTCAAAACATTATGTCCAACAATACTCATTTGTAAAACACATAATCCCAACAAAAAAATGAATATATCACACATATAAGCAAGTCTACCAAATCTCCAATCAACTATATAGGCTTTTACTAAGTCGACCTTTACAAGAAGCGTTATCAAACTTGTCAACCACAAATTTTGATCATTTTGTTACATCACAAACAGTCACAAGAACAAATTTGCATCATTTCATCTATGCGAAATTTTGGACCAGAAATAGACGAAGAAAAACAGTATGAGTGCAAAAAGAATGACATGCATTACATGGCTTGACCCTTCTTTAATGATGCTCTTGTTTAGTCTCCTCACGTTGTTCTTCACCCCTGCTTGAGCTTTAATCAATGTCATTTGCTGTTACATGTAAAAGACGGTATCAAGTCATTTATACCTTCGGAATAAATAAATAAATCACTCCTACCAATGTGTTGAGGCAGAAAATATTTTGGTTATAGGAAAACAAATTATTCACCAGCTTACAATTAAGAGGTGTCAATTTTAAGAATCCAATCAGGACGAGACTGAAAAGTGCGAAACATTATAGAAAGACAGTGTAAACTGGAGCTAAACGAATTCTGGATTATTTCGGGTAAAATGAAAAAATGCACTTGATTGCAATCTAACAGAATCATTTACATGCTGTAGTGGAAAATTTCTCACAAAAGGCAGATATTGTTTGTCGAATCAGCAGCTAATTTCTCAAAATCATATAGATTAGTAGCGTTTCTGTGGCGCATGGATGAGTAAATAGTTCAAATATTCTAGATAACGGTTAATTGTGTATGTACCAGATCGTTGAGGAAATTATTTTGGTCCTTCGCTTCTGTCTCAATTTCTTGAGCTACCTGCAGAATTTTATGAGAATTAAGTGAGCCATGATAGTCAAAAGTAGCAATGCGGTACAAGTTATAGAATAGAGGAGACTTCCTGACAATCTACCAAATTCAAATGCCCTGCTATCTCGATTATATTATATTCATTTTGAACCATAAACATCAACGCTTCAAAGTGAACTTTTTCAGTTTGTTTTTATACAAACATTAAAAATTTTCACAATTTTTATGTAGCTGCAATCACATTATCATATATACAGGCCCGCATGTTCATATCCTGCAATATAGTATCTCTTGTAATAGGTAAGGTACATATATAATGCGCATATGTAATGACACGAAAACAAGCCAACCAAAAAGAAAGATGCTATTCATTATTGCTTTCTCAAAGTATGTACACCATATTATTCCTCTTAACAATTCTAAAGTAAAATGTAACTTAAATGACATAAATAAATACTAGTATACAGAACAAAGATAATTCACAGAAGCAACCATGGTGGCAATCCGGAAAAGACAAACAGCAAGGATTGGGGGCTCAAATTCATCTCAGATCCAGCTGTTTCGAATCATCAGATGATTAAATAAAAGTCAAGGTACTGATATTCACAAGGCAAATCAGGTTAGTTAAGTTTCTGAAAAGTTAAGAACAGCCCAAGAAAAGAAATGGTCACAAATCATTATTATGAATCACGTTAAGAAATAAAATGAACTGAAATTAGGCAGCAATCCTGGCAGCATGGGAAGAGTTCAGATGTGGATGGATAGTTGTACTCACTATTAACGAACTCTATAAGCATAAAAATTCAGAAAACCTAATAAAAAGAAACCATTTTCAATTTTCCACTAGTTGCATCAAACTTTTAACTAATAAGATTGCAGATTTAATGGATCATGAACTACAGATCATGAGGCTTTATAAAGTAGGCAGCCAGTTCAATCCTACTGATGTGTGTTTTGTAAAATTATGGTAAAAATTAGAGGTGGTCATGCAATGGAATCACGAAATAGCAAAATTCATCACAGATATTAGCCTGGCCTAAGCTGCTCACACTGAACTTAGAAAATCAGGTATAGTTTCAACTAATTTGTACCAAAAGCAGAGTAACTAACCACACTCTCATTCCTTAATTTACCATTACATTAGTCCAACACTTCAACATTATATTATCATAATTTTCCACCACAAAGGAATTCCGCAGCCAAATCAGCTAAAACATTTAATTCACACACAAGGGTAAAAAGCACAAAATGAATGTTATTTGCCAACAAAGTTTCAGCAAGAACATTGTGGAAAAAGATTGAAATGTCTCCTTCTCAAAGCAATCAAAACAATTCAGAGCATCCATTTAATCCCCCAATAAAGCTTCAAGCTATTTCCAAATCCTACAAAAGGCTAACAATGCACCAACTAAACTCAAGAAATCATTTCAGACATATTAAACTGGATCTATGCTACATTGAAAGGATACGCACATCTACACAGCAGAAGATCATACGATTCAGAGATTATAACTACAGTATAGAAATTCTACATTCCACGAATCCAAGAAAATGACTCAAAGTCCGTGGATCAAACTTTCCACGGCAAAAAAAAAAGGAGCAATCATGAAAAGGAAATCAAGAAAGCAAACAAACAAAACCTTACATCTCGAAGTTTTCGAACTTGGCTCCGCAGTCCAGACACCTCATCTTCGAAGTCAGCGTGCATCGGATCGATTCGCAACTGAATTTCATCGGAACTACCGCCATATGCCGCCGGCCTTGTGCTCAAACCATTCCTGTTCCAATCAAGAACTACCAATAAAATGCGTCGCTAAAATTATCCATCCCAGCTCCAAATTACACATTAATAGAGATTAATTAAATGGTTTAACATTAAATACCTTGATCTGAAGGGGGCGGCCATTGCAGACGACGCTGGAATTTCTATCTACAGGGTACAGGCAACAAATTGGGGCGACGTTCTTGATCATACGCGGAGCGGAGCAGAAGGCGTGTCTGGTTTCTCCTCATTTCGTTTTAATATTAAGTATGGGAAAAAATGGTTCAGAATATAATCAAAATTGAGGAATATAAAAATTTTATTAATTTTGGTCTCAATATAATTAAAATTATTATTTTTGTTTTAATATAATCAAAACTCATCATTGTTTATTCTAATATAAAATTTTTATCAATTTTAGTCTCAATGTAATCAAGACTCATATTTTTTGTTCCAATATAATCAAACTTTTTTTTTTGTCTCATCGTCAACAAACCGATGAAAAATGCTGACTTAGATTTGCAAGATTGTGCAATTTTTTTCGAAAAGATAAGATTTGATTATATTATAACAAAAAATGATGAATTTTTGTTATATTTGAACTAAAATAAATAAAAATTTATATTTAGACAAAAAATGATGAGTTTTGATTATATTAGAACAAAAAATAATGAATTTTTAATTATATTGAAACCAAAATTGATAAAAATTTTATATTGGAACCAAAATTGATAAATTTTAATTATATTAGGATTAAAAATAATTTTTTCCCTTAAAAACGTTTGTTTTCCTCTTTTGCACTAAAGGGCTTCAAGATGTGAATATTGTCAAATTGCACCTACCACTTCTCGTAATTCCTATTCGACACCGAAAATGTTGAAATTTTAAATATTAAAAAAAAATCATTGTTTTAAAAAAATTGTCCGTCCTTTTATATTTAAAAAAAATAAAAAAATTGTATGAACATATTCTATAGTTTCTCCTTTGTATTTAAAAAATATTGCATAAAATCCTCCCGCTAAGCAAAAGATATAGATAAAAACTCATTTTTTTATCACACAGGAAAGTTTCGTAAATGTGGAGTTTTATGCAAAGTTTTTTAAAGTATAAGGGAACTCTATGCAATTTTTAAAATATAAAAAAATTTTACACTAAATTTTGAAACCAAAAGAGAGTTACAAGCAATTTTACATAATATAGTTCTTCTTTTTTTTTTTTCTTTTTTTTTTTAAATGACAAGTAGATTAGTTCATTCTTTTTTTAAAAAAAATAGTATGATTTTCTAAAAAACTACAATATATACATATATACACACTCAGTTTCAATTGAAAGTATTATTTTACCATTTTCGTTACTTTCATTAAAAAAATATTTCTTTTCCTAAAGTAATTACACACTGATACTAAAATACTATTTTAACTTTTATCTAAATTACAAACAAACCAATACATATACTATTAATTTATATATAAAGTACAAAAGGTAAAAATATCAAAAAAATTTTACATACTTTTATTAATTAATAAAATATTAATTCTTCTGTCCAATTTTAATTGACATATTTTTATTTTTGTTTATCTCATTTTAATTAACACCTTTAAATTTGTAGTAAATTTATCAATATTAAAACTTAATTAAATTTCTATCTTATATAGAGGGCCACAAAAAATAATTTTATTTATATTTTTCGACTCAATCAACTTAATTAAATTTTTATATTATATATAGGACCACACAAAATATTTTTATTTATGTTTATATACTCAATCACCTTAATTAAATTTCTATATTATATATTGGACCACACAAAATATTTTTATTAATATTTCTCTGTTTAATCAATTTAATTAAATTTTTAATATTTTACATTTACACGAAAGACTTACTCAAAATCTCTTAATTTTTTATCTCCTCAATGAACAAATATTTTTATTTAAATTTACAACTTTCTATATTTTTATTATATATATTTTACTGATATAAAATAGTTAAAATACATTTTTAAAATTTTTCTAATCATATACTCCATCTGTCCCAAAATAATAGGGACATTTATGATTGGCATGGGAAGTTGGAAAGTAAAGAATAATAGTATTACAGTGGATGTAAAAGTATTTTTAAAAGATCAAAATATCGTTAGTTTATGTAATTATTGTAAAAAAATGAAGATAGTTTTTGTAAAAAAAGTGAGAAATTTGTTACAAAAAATGAAAATACACTATTGTTTTTTAGACAGAACAAAATGAGACTATTGTTTCAAAACCTAAAGAATATTAATTTTTAGGGTAAACTAGTTTTTTAGTCCCCTGACTGGACCCCTTATCATTTTATTCCTGTAAATGGAGCCTGTCGCAACCATAAGTGAAAAATTTTCGTTGTTTTAGTCTTCCGGCGCCGGAGACGCCAGCGTGGCTCGCTGGAGGTGACGTATCTGCCAGGTCAGCAACACCTGGCGGACACGTGGATTTATTTATTTTTTTCAATTTTTTTATTTTTTTTAAAATTAAATCAAATTTAAAAAATAAAAAATATATAAATAAAATTAAAAATAAATTAAAAATAAGTTTTAAAAAAAAATTTTAAAAAAAATAAAAATCCACTTGTCCGCCTGGTCAGCGCCAGGTGTCGCTGACCTGGCTGACACGTCACCTCCGGCGAGCCACGCGGGCGTCTCCGGCGCCGGAGGACTAAAACAAACGAAAATTTTTCACTTATGGGATTAGTTTGCGAGAGGCTCCACTTACGAGACTAAAATGATAAAGGGGTCCGGGACTAAACAATTTACCCTAATTTTTATTTTAAAAATATCAACATCATTTACTCACATAAAAAAATAAATAAACTAATATTATAAATTACTATTTTTAATTCATTAAACCTTACTAACTTAAATACTAGTATTATTTACTAATTTACTACAATACTCCTCAAAAATCTTTTAAATTAAACTGAAAAAATATATAGTACTCATCCAGTCTAAACATTTTGCAATATTTTTTATTATGTTCCAAATACTTTATAATATTTTTAAAATAGAAAATAATTAATTATATTTATCTCACATTTTATCCCATCACATCATCATAATAAAAAAAAATATATATATACATTCATTTCTCTATCACATCACGTTATTCCAAAATTATACTTAATATTATTCACCTCGTGCCTAAATAAAATGTCTCACCTTATTTGAAATGGAGGGAGTATATATTTTATTTGTTAATAAAAAATTACTTCATCCGTCCCATATAAATTGTTTACGTTACCGTAAATACGATAATCTAGGTAAAATATAATTAGTACGTAATTAAGAAATGTATTAATAAAAATAATTATTGTATATTACAAATAAATATAGATTAAAATTAAGATAACAAAATCGTTTAATTAAAATTAAGAAAATTATAAATGTGATTAAAGTGTATAACTATATTTTAAAAATGAAAGGACAAAGGATGTGGAACTAAATAAAAAGTGTGGACATTTTATGTACGACGGATGAAGTAATAATTTAAAATTAATATACTATCCTGTCCGACTCTAAGGGCTCCATTTACTTTTTACTCGTTGATTTTTGAATAGTATTATATAAAAATATAGTATAAATTTAAAAAATTACAAAAATACTTCAACTTAATGTCTTATAATACTAATAGAAGGATATTTGTAAAAAAAAAAAAAATTATATTCCCTCCGTCCCAAGATATAGTCTTGTTGTGTTGGGCAGATTTAAGGAATATTGATATAATATTGGTAGTTGGTAAAAAGTAACGATAAATGACTTTTTTGCCCTTATGAGGATATTAGTGTAAAAAGTAGTGGAAATTGTGTAATAATAATGTAAAAGTAAGGATAGTTTTACGGTGATATGATTATTTATGAAAACAAGACTATTATATTAGGACGAATGAAGTACAATATAATACTCCCTCCGTCCCATAAGTAAATATCCATTTGCTTTTTGCACGTAGTTTTAGAAATATTAATATTATATTGGAATATAGTATGAATAAAATATAAATGACTAAAATAACCTTATTAGTATGTGTGATATAAAGTGATGATATTTATGTAATATATTGTAAGTTGTAAGGGTATTTGTAATATTAAATAGCTAGTACAGTTACTAAAAAAAGGAAGTGGATACTTTGTAATGGGACGGACTAAAATGGAAAATTGAATACTTTGTTATGGGACGGAGGGAGTAACAATTTTAAAGTTAAGTACAATGATACAAAAAATAAATATGACCTAAGAGTCCGAATGGAGTACTATTTATTTATTTTTTTATATTAAGAACATAATTTTCTACGCCTAACATTTTTTTAAAAAATAATAATAATAATAATAAAATCATTTAAAAAAAGTGCGAAACCTAAACTAATTAGCGGTTTATAAACCCTCACTAAATTCGTGAAAGGCCCAAACCGGTCTTTCTATTTCCATCGACGCAAACACATTCCTCCCCTGCAGCAACCAAAAATGGATTCCGGGAGCGGCGCGTCGCTGCCTTCCTCATGCCCCGACGCGCGGAAGCGGCGCGTGTCCTACTTCTACGAGCCAACAATCGGCGACTACTACTACGGCCAAGGCCACCCAATGAAGCCCCACCGAATCCGCATGGCTCACAATCTGATTGTCCACTACTCCCTCCATCGCCGAATGGAGATCAGCCGCCCCTTCCCCGCTGGCCCCGAGGACATCCGCCGCTTTCATTCGCCGGAATATGTTGAGTTCCTCTCCACCGTCTCTCCTGACACGCTTCATGATCACACCCACTCGCGTCACCTCAAGCGCTTCAATGTCGGAGAGGATTGCCCCGTCTTCGACGGTTTGTTCAGTTTCTGCCAGGCCTCTGCCGGCGGCTCTATCGGCGCCGCCGTCAAGCTCAACCGACAGGATGCAGATATTGCGATTAATTGGGCCGGCGGCCTGCATCATGCTAAGAAGAGCGAGGCTTCGGGGTTTTGCTATGTTAACGACATTGTGCTGGGGATTCTCGAGCTGCTTAAAGTTCATAGGGTAAAGATAGCTTAAATTGAACTTGTTTAACTTCCAATTTACATGAATTATTCATTTGAAGCTAAGAATATTCCTTATGGACCTCTGGTATCTAATTTTTAGTATATAATCTTCCTTTCCTGCTTCAGGTAATCTCATGACCCTTAGATATTAAATTGAGCTGTAATTTGCTAGTTTCCCCGCACCTTTTATTTCATTCGACGTATAATGATGCTCCATCTGAGTTTTCGTTTACAATTTGTCACCCCCAATTGAATCTAGTTCCAATATGGCTGTCTAGAACTTTGTTGTCATTTGTCAATGTGGGCAAGTGAAGTATATTGTTTATTTTGTAGTTGGTTATTTCTCATTATATGGATTTTGTTTTGCTTTCTTTTCTCGACAACATAAAAAATGCGCCCATCAATTATATTATGATGAAGTGATTTGATCTGTTTTTGGAAGTCTAAGAAGCTTCACACACACATCACATATTCTTTTCCTTCTGTCTAATGATAAATTTGTATAACTTTGGTTTGACAGCGTGTGCTGTACATAGACATCGATGTCCACCATGGAGATGGTGTTGAGGAGGCATTTTTTGTCACTGACCGAGTGATGACAGTCTCCTTCCATAAATTTGGTGATTTTTTCCCGGGAACTGGTCATATCAAAGACATTGGGGCATCTGTGGGAAAGTATTATGCTCTTAATGTCCCACTGAACGATGGATTGACTGATGACAACTTCCATAGTTTATTTCGGCCCATTATCCAGAAAGTCATGGAGGTCTATCAGCCAGATGCTGTTATTCTTCAATGCGGGGCAGATTCATTGGCTGGTGATCGTTTAGGATGCTTTAATTTGTCTGTTAAAGGCCATGCAGACTGCCTTCGATTTTTGAGGTCATATAATGTTCCTCTTATGGTTTTGGGTGGTGGCGGTTATACAATTCGAAATGTTGCCCGTTGCTGGTGCTATGAGGTTCTTCTCTCCCTCTCCCCTTCTCTCTCTCCCACATACACACATTTTAATTTGTTTCTAAGCCATTCCATGTTTGCATTTTCTCGTGCTCATAATATCATATTGTTTCTTATAGTAGTATTGTTAATTCATTAGATTTTCTTGGATAGCCTCGCTGATAGATGATTTTCCTGCTTTGTGGTAGACTGCAGTGGCAGTTGATGTGGAACCAGATAATAAGTTGCCGTACAATGACTACTATGAGTATTTTGGCCCTGATTATACTCTTCATGTAGAAACAGCCCTTATGGAAAATCTGAATACAGAAAGAGATTTGGAGAAAATCAGGTGAAGCATCAAACTCCATTCATGACTACTGATTTTCTTGAACACTCTTCAATTCATTTCACTTGTAGTGGAAGTAACTTGTGTGTACTGGTGTCTTTGTGATCCCAATTCTGTTTCTGTAACTCAATTTACCATGGTTGATCACTGACTTAATTTTTCCTACTCTGAGAACCTTGCTGTTTTTTGGCTCTGCTCTGCAGCATCTCAGCATTTGAACTTTGTTTGATAGCCAGCATTTGACTTCTTTTGATGGAAACGATGCTGCAGTTAGGACTGCAGCCAAGCCAATCTAATCAAATTTGTTGTGATACTTCTCAAAATTATTCACACCCATTGTTTCGCCCCAATTCCAGCCATCTCCATCACAACATTTTTTTAATTGTCTGGAAAGCATTATATCTTGGCTGACATGCTCTCAGTTTTCATACCCAACTTTGCTTTGCAGATAGATAGAGCCATATTTTCAGAATGAGAATCTATTAATGCACAAAACATGAACATTGTCCCTGATTCCTTATTTACTTGTTACATCTTTCCGACGCTGTTATTATTTGTCTGCAAGCATCATTAGATTTATTTTTCTAATGTTTTGAAATATTCATCCAATTCATGGGATAGAAATTAGAATACTGTGAAAGCAGCAATAATAATGAAATGCTCATTCAGTAAAATCATATCAACCCAAATTAATTTTGTTAAGTAATTTATGGAATACAAATAAGTCTCTGAATATTGAACCAAATATTTGGTTTAGAAAGTTATATTATCACCTGTAACAATTCAAATTCTACGTTCTAGTTTATTTATTTGTAGTTTATGATAAATTGGTGTAATAGATAAACTTGAGACATTCTAATTATTTGTAGTTTATGATAAATTGGTGTTTTATATAGTGATAGTAATATGAAATTTTTTAAAATGAAAGAGAAAAAATGAGGTGAAATGTAAGAAGTTGTAATAATAATAATAATAATAATAATAATAATAATAATAATAATAAATGTTTGTTTTGTTCTGTTTTAATAAGCCAAATACAGAATCAAAATTAGCAGCTAAATTGAATTTCTGATTGGTATTCAATACAAAAATAGAATTTATAACTTATGATGATTCAACAGTCTGTTGGACAGTGCTCACCCGAACAGTGTTTTCTGCATTTTTGGTGCTTTTTTGTTTTTTGAACCTCAGCTATTTTTGTATTACCTTGTTAGTAGTTAGGGTTTGTATTGTTGAGTTTTTTTCAATTCCCAATAAAAACTTTTACCCACATTTTCCAATAAAAATACACTTTTTTTCTTTTACAAAACATTGCATCAAACAATTATTTCAGCTAAAAAATGTCAAAAACCAAACCATACAAACCCCAAACCAAACACAGCCGTATAGTTTCCACACTCTTTCCTAGTATTCTATATTTTACTCTGTTTGTGAAAAAAAAAGATATATCTGAGTTCATTTGGTTTTTTCCCCTGTGTAATGTGAATTCTTGAAAACCATAATGCTCATTTATGGCTCACCCTTCTTATATCCTAGTGTGTATATGTATATATATATATTCCATGGTGTGGTGAATTGTTTTCAAGTAGGCCATCTTAACTTCAAAGTCATTTCTTTTCAATCTTGTTTTCATCCTGGTAGTTAGGGCGGAGTTAAGTAGCCTGGTATCAATGCACTTAGTTTCTTTATCTAATTTTTATTTCCATGTATTATTGCATTTTTAATTTTTTTTTTTTATATTGATCCATTTTGACTATCCTTTCATGAAATGTATAGTAGCTTGCAATCTGTCTAATTTTGTATAATATGAGGTTGGCTAAGAAGTTCAAAAGTTCAATCATCTAGAAATATGGGTTCATAGCTGTATAAACATGTACTATTGTTATGTTCTTATGGATTGATAAAATTGCAGAAACATGCTACTTGATCAACTTTCTAAACTACAGCATGTTCCAAGTGTCCCATTTCAAACAATGCCTCCAACCACAGAAGTTCCTGAAGAGGTAAAATCACTTTTGTGGATGCCTCATTTTATGCTTGTATTCTCGCACAAAGTTTGATCTATGCCATTTTCAGAGAGAAGAAGATATGGAAGTTAGACCCAATCCCCGGATATGGAATGGTGAGGAGGATTATGAATCAGATAACGACGAAAATGTTAAGCCTGCGCGGCGAAGCTTGAACAATGACACCACATACAGAACGAGCAATGATCTGAGGTAGGCTCTGATTGGAACTTGTCACGTTAATTCTCTGTTTACTTGCTTGAAGTTCCATTAAATCCTGTCTTGAAAAAGGCTATGTGCGATTGTTAATGGAAAAAAATTTCTGTAAAATATTTGATATTCAATAGACCAGTGTTTGGAGAACTTTTAGTGTGGTGTGAAAAGATGTGGTGGATGCAGTGTTGGGTTAATTTAACCTGACTTTTGAAAATTTAACATTTTGGAATAGGAAAAAGTATAATTTTCATATATTAACATAAGTGAGGTTACATATATATATATATATATTAGGTATAGTTAGGGACAACCCAATCTATCCAAACCAATAAACTCTAACCGATCCTATCTAATGCTTTATCATAATATAACTCTATCTAAATTATATCTCTATCTAAAACTATATATGTTAATTATATAATCAACACTTCCCATCAAGTTGGAGCATGTATATTTATCATGCCGAGATTGTTACAAATATGATTGATTTGTACTCCCTTCGTCACCAAAAATATTTTCAAACTTTTGTGCACGGGTTTTAATATGGATGTGTACTTTTTGTTACTTTTTTCTTTTTATAGTAAAAGAAGTATAAAAAATATATTTTTATTAGATAAAGAAATAAGAATAGTTATGGACAGAAAAAACAGAAATTGAGCACAAATTAGGGTTCCAGGGGGAGCACTTCATTAGTGCCTTGGTTAAAAAATCTCCATGTTGATCTTCTGACTTGACATATTCAGTAGAGATGATTCCTTTTAGGATTTTTGCGGACAAAGTGACAGTCAGGTTCAATATGTTTTGTGTGTTTATGAAATACTGGATCTAGATTGAAAGCAATGTGTTGGGCTCCTTGGTTGTCACACTTTAGTTTTGTCAGAAATTCAAATTTATGGCCGATCTCTCTCATCAATTGTTGTATCCATGCCATCTCACACATGAGCCTGCCATGGCTCTATATAGCTTCAGCATAAGATTTTGAAACGGCAGTTTGTTTCTTGATTCTCCAAGATATAAAATTGCCTCCTACAAAATGTAGTATCCTGAAGTGAATGTTCTATTATCTTACACCCAACGCCAATGAAACCTTTCACTTTTAACTGACCAAGGCTAGTGTAGAATAGGTCTCGACTAGGTGCTCTTTACAAGTAACATAAAACTTGCTCTAGTAGGGCCGAATGATTTCATAGACAAAATCACGACACTTTCTGGACGTGTTATTGTCAAGTAGTTTAGCTTCCCAAGAAGTCTGTGATACCCTTTTAGGATGGGGGAACTGTTCTCCATTATCCTTAAGAAGATATGAGTTGGGAGTCATTGGAGTACTACGGTCTAGAGGACTTGACTCTTAATTCTCCAGTCGCGTTAAGTAGATCGAAAGCATATCTCCTTTGTGATGGAAAAATCCCTTTCTTGTTCTACTTCAATCCCTAGAAAGTATTTAAATGGCCGCAAGTCCTTCGTTTGGAAATGTTCTTGAAGGAACAATTTTAGCCTAGAAATGCCACAGTTGTCACTCCCAATGACCATGATATCATAACATAGACAACCAATAAAATAATCCCGACATTAGCATGTTTGTAAAAGATTGAGGGTCTATTAGATTGTGGTTTGAAATTGATTTGAAATGGAGTGTTAATTTTGATTTTTGTTTAAATAGTATTTTTGAAATCATGTTTTTTGAGAGAAAATAGTGAATATTTATTGAAAATTGTGCGGTTGTGTACTGTAGATTTTTGTTTGTAATCATCAACAAACAAACCCTGAGTCGTCGGATTTGCACCTATGCAGTCCGTACCTGAAAACAACCTGATTAAATCCTTTAAACCAAGCACGAAGACTCTGTTTTAGTCCATACAATGAGTTAAGGCGACATATCTATACTCCTTTGCAACAAAGCCAGGTTGTTGCTCCAAAATTACTTTTCCACAAAAAAGTCATGAAGGCACTCTTGATATCCAACTAAGAAAGAGGCCAATTATAATTGGTAGTAAGAGATACAAGCAGACGGTCAACCAATAATCTTCAAACAATCTAATCAAATATACATAGTAGAATACTTTACTACCAATTACCATGTAATCAACAAAAAATGCCCAACTTTTACATCCAAACAAGTGCATGGCTGTATTAAAATTTTTTCCCCTATCGTCTGAGGTGGTAGAATAAGTGGTGTTGGGGAAATCCCACAAAGAAAACACAGTAGCAATGCGATCTATGCAGGTTTGCTGTTGATCATAAGTATACCAAAATGTGAAACATCATAATTGACTAACCTTATTACTAATATTGATGTATGTATTCTCACAAATTTAAGAGATCAAGTGCCTGAAAGCTAGGATTTTGCTCTAGATCATGGCTGTTTATCTTTCCTTTTCCTTGTATGTGAGAGTTCTAGTGATTTGAAGCTTGAATAGTCTAAATAACAATGAGACGTACATGCTTTTTTTTTTCCCATTCACATGGGAATTGGGATATTCTTATATACGTATATATATGTTTCGTATTTCACTAGATAGTACTTTGCAACTTACCCAAGTATATAAAAGGAAATAAGTGACTTCTTGAAGAGATTGATTTGGCTAACATTACATATTTCCTCGAGGCATGCTTATAGGTTTTCCTGTGTATATACTTGTTTTGAAATGATAATATATGACATATGACTTATTGAAAGAGCTCAATCTGTCTAGCATAACATTATGATTCTGTTCTTTTGGAGTTTGGTTTCGAATTTTTTTACCATACACTATAAAAAAATACACTATTTCTTCTTACAAAACTTCATATTCAAACAAACCACTATTAAAACAAAAAACGTAAACCAGAAAAACAAAATCAACGCCTAAAGACATGCTTATATAGTTTTTTCGGTTCATATAATCCTACAGAAATTATAATATATGTAATTAGATTTTATTTACTGCTCAAATGTTTGTTGATAAATGCATGATTCAGGGATAGTTACAACACAGTCAAAGAGGAAGACATGACCGATGCACAACATGACAGATGATATTTCTCATCGATAATTGCTGGTTCTAGGCAGAGTTGACTGTTTGGTTGCTTCTTTGGCCACACTTACTTTCATGGAGTTCTGATCAAAATACAGTTTATGGAGAGAAAATCTTGAATGGTGCTCGAAAACAAAATATAGCATTTGTTGCATTTTTTGTATTGTCTTCTTCGCCGTATTGCCTGCAGCTTTTCTCTAGAGAAATTCAGATAATCTAATACAAAGTGTTGGTTGTACACAGTGGCTGTTGGATTGTTTTACCTTTATGTGATTGTCCATGACATCAAATGATATACAATGAAGTATATTACAATAGATAATTCATATATACATATATGTGTGTGTCTCACATTCATGATTCATATTTGTCTGCGCGCAACACATTTTTTAATCGGCAAAATTTGTAGGAGGCTGTGTAGTGCTGCTGATCTTTGTGATTCTGAGTGAAGTTGGTCCTCCTCTTTTCAACTGTTAGGTAAATTTATGTTTATGCACTCACAATTTTATTATTTTTACTTTAATAGATACCAACTGTTTTGCTACTAGAATAATCCAAATGAACCTTGCGCAGGATGGAAAAGCACAAGAAAATGGAAAACACACTCTAGGGTAAACAAAAACGGCATTTGCAACATGTACTTGAAGCGCATCGTTGTCAAGGCTCCGTTGCTCTTCTAGAATAAGCTTGGCAGACTCTCCGGTGACACTGCTGCTATCAGACACCGTTATGAGTCTTAAGAGTTGGAAGACTCTCCGGTGACACTGCTGCTATCAGACACCGTTATGAGTCTTAAGAGTTGGAATATCACCGATGTCGAGGGGTATCTCCTCCAAATTGGAGCAACTCTCGATTTTGAGGTGTTGAAGGCGCGGGAAGTGTGTATTGTCTGCTCTCCAACACCGGAGATTTAATCTGTTCATGAGGAGGAACTTAAGCCGTAAGAATTCTCCTTCTATAGGCTCCCATTCGTCGCCCTCAAATGCGCTTCTTCTCAGCCTAAGTACTTCCAAATTCGGAAGGGAACCGACTGCTGAAATTTCATTCCACGGCAATCTACAGCCGTACAACGATAGCTTCGTAAGATTCTGTGGAAAAATGAAGTCGCTCCCCAAGGAAGTACTCGATGTAATCCAGTCAGGATCGAAGCCTTTCTTCAGCTCCTCAAGACGGCGCAAATGGACTAGATTGCCGAGGCGATACTTATCCCAGATTCCATCTCTTTCGGCGGTGACGATGTATATTTTCAGCTTCCTAAGGTTAGGAATCGTTTCGACAACCTTCTTGGTGAATATGAAATTTTTTACGGTCTCGAGCGTTTGCAGATCTTTGAGTATCCGTACAGATGTAGGAGGAGGTGGCATCCGTTATCTCCATGATAAAATGCCGCAGCCGCGGCATCTGCCAAAATTTGGGCGATAGTTGGAAGCAGTAGTTTAGGACAAAAGGACTGTAAATGACGAAGGTTTGGAGATTCCGAAGCTTGAATTTATTCTGACAAAGGCAAACTTTGTTGCTCCTGCTCCAAATTACTCGCAGCACGATGTACTTGAGGTGAAACATCCACGAGAGCACCTCCGGCGCCGCAGAAAGCTCGGCGTCGGATGCATCCAATATTTTCAGCAGTCGGAAGCTAAGGCATCCGAAGATAAAATCATTCTCGATGTAGCGTTGTTTGCCGAACCACATAATTGTTCGTACATTTTTTCGAGTGCCGTATGCTGCCCAAGGCTCGGGATAATCGTATAATCTAGCCGTGCCGCGTAGAGACTCCTCGTACATATCGAAACATCTCTTCCAATCTAACCCGTGGTAGAAACCTTCGCAGACAGCTCTTTGTCGACAGAAATCTCTCAAAAGATCGTGCATGACGCAGTCCTTGAATCGTCCGTCGGCCCTTTTCTTCGTGATAATGACAAGATTTCTCTTAACAAGATCCTCCAAGCATCCCTCGGCTACTCGTTCTAAGGTTTCGAATCGTTCATTTGGTTTCAAGAACCCCTCGGCAACCCATAGCCTCGCAAGCCTCGATATATTTATGGCATAGTCTTCCGGGAAACTTCCGATGTATAGAAAACAAGCTTTGAGTGAATGAGACAAGTTATTGAAGCTCAAAGATAGTATATTCGACAAGTGTTCGTCGTTTCTACTCAAGAAAGAACCGACGTTCTTGGAAACCTCTTCCCAATGTTGTGATGTCCGAATGTCTGAAAGGACGCCGGCGATTACAACGATTGCGAGTGGAAGCCCTCGACATTTACTCGCTATGGACCTTCCGATCTCTTCCATTTCTCGAGGACAATGTTCTTGCGCGAACACCTTCTCCCGAAGTAAATTCCAACTTGCGGCCGCGTCGAGGAATTGTATCTCGTGAAGAAAATCGACGCTAGGGACGTATTGCGCGACATCTAATAACCTAGTGGTTAACAATACGCGACTTCCGTTAGCGTCGTTTGGGAATAAACGCCTCATATCGTCCCAAACTTTTGTACTCCAGACATCATCTATTACAACAAGGTATCTCCGACCTTTTAAGTGTTTGCATATGAATTCTTTCGATTCCTCTTCCTCGCGACCCAAGTTATCCTCTTCCTCGCGACCCAACTTATCGGCGTCTACTTTCATGGATTTTAAGATCCTTTGAAGAACCTCGTATGCACTATAATCTTGCGATACGGCTACCCAAGCGCGATGGTCAAAGTGATACACGGATAGCGCGGATCATCAAACGTGGCTGGCGCCAGAGTCGTCTTGCCTATTCCACCCATCCCGACAATGGGAATGACTTGGAGCTGTGACGAATGTCCACAGAGACGATCTTTAATTTTGTTCAAATATTCTTCGAATCCCACCATAGCATCATTTCTTCGATCTGTTGGGAGTTTGGCGCTATCAGCAATAGTCGAATACCGGCTAAGTTTCGACTCTTCACTCGTGCAGCGTGTTTCCTCGTCGAAGGTCATCTTCAGAAACTCTACTATAGAATCGACTTCTTGCAGCTCCTCTTCGCATTCCTCTGCTTGCGGATGTCGCTGACGATGCAACAAATTACGGCAACCAGAAATCAGATTGTGAAAAATGTTTACTATTGTGTTTGATCTGGTGTCGATATGATCTGAGATATTTGATTCGATTACATCCTGCGCGCGATACGACACATCTCTTATGCGCTCTTCGACGCGATCACTGGCTTCGTCGCCTTTGGATGAATAATCTTTCAGTGATTCTTGGAGAAGGCTGAACTTTTCGAGGAGTGATTTTATGATGGGATGTTTTGCGAGAAGAAAGTTCGGGTATCGATCATGGAGGTTTATATGATCGAGTAATTGGAGAAGAGAAGCAAGAGCAGCATAATACGCCATTTTCAGTAATCTTCAAAGCAGAGAGACAAGACAGTATTTGCAGTGTAGGAATGGCAAACAATGGATTTTGTCTTGTAATATTAGGAGAAGTATTTGGATCATAACCACGGTTGTGTTTTTTTGTGGGTTTTAACACAGGTTTTTACATTGATTTTATATTATATTACAAATTTGTTTTATATTCAAAATATCACATCAAATAACTATTCAAATTCTGTTTTTTCTTTTTTGCTTTTTGGTTGTAATTTTTAATTTGAATTGTAGTTCAGATACTACTATCTTCGTCCGGTTGCAGTAGTTACATTTGTTGATATTTGAACATTAATTACTATATCAAAACATAATACAAATCATTGAAAATGAAAAAAAAATACTTCTATTAATATAATGACCAATAAAAAAGTAAATGTAACTCTTGCAGATAGATGAAAAGAAAATATATTTTTTTAAAAGATATAATGTATTTTTAACATGAACCATGACGATTATCATATAATTATAAATTTAAAATCAAATTCCAAAATTAAATTGTATAATTATAGTCTGATGGTGTAAAAGTGAACTTGTAACTGCAAACTAAGACAAATTTGTCTTCATTTATCTTCGATTGTTCTGAAAATTGAGATTTTAAAATAGAATATTGAAAAGATAACCACGATACTACATACTCCCTCCGCCCGGTATACATATTATTATTTTAGGACGTCTGATTACAAAGTAAACATTTTATTAAATATTTCATTTTTTTCACAAATACCCTATACTATTTTAATTACCTACAATACTTAAAATACTATTATTTTTTTAACACTGCACCGAAAATAAATGTTTACTTTGTATGTGGACGGATAGAATATATATATATATATATATAATTTGTGGTCTCCAGCCAGTTGTAAAGTAAAGCATGAATTATTGGGTGCTTTATAATATGTCACAAAAAAGATGTCTTTGTGGAATAGAAGCATATCAATGCAGAAATACTGGCCTCAACTTCCATCCCAATCATCTCTACCAATTCTCATCATTCAAGACTATTTTTCTTATAGTTCAATACGATCTTGACACAAAATAATTAGGTTTTTGTCCAAGATTTAATTTCGATTATGTATACAAATTGACACTGACCCAAAACAACAATAATTGGATTAAGTTAAGATTGCAATCTTTAACTTAAACCCCACACGACAATCCGATTATAATATATTAATAGTAATTAATATATTTATTATATATGTAAAATAAATTATAATTTGATAGGCCATGTATTAATTTAAACTAAATTTAATTTAAGTAATTAACTTAATTCATTGTATACATTACACTATAACCAATAAAAAATTAACATAAGACGACAACCCAACAAAAATAATTAGATTTGAATAGAGAATTTCGACTCAATTATGTATTCAGGTCAACACAAATCCGATACAATAACAAACAGGTTAAAACGATAATAAATGGGTCAATGCAAACCTAACACGATAATGAATTGATCGAGTTAAGATTGAGTGATTTAACTCATTTGAAATATTAACGACACAAATCAACTCATTGTCGAGTTTAATTTTTCTATAGTTTAGTTTTAAATATTTTTATTATATAATTATTGAAAATTTTGTTATAAAATTTATTATATCTATTGTTTTGTTTTCCTTCGTCCCTCTGAATGAAAAAACTCTTTGTTATTTTTGGCATATAGACAAATATGTTTTCTTCATACTGCAGGAAAGTTCATTATAGTCGTGGGTTGCATATAGATTGTGTCATTGCAATCATGTTGCAATCCGAATCTTTGGGTTTGATTTTATTTGTTTAAACTTTAAATATCTGCAAGAGTCGTATTTTGGGATGGTCAGACATATGTGCAAATTTATTCCATTTTTTTCTATGCTAAGGAAAATTAATGTGAGGTTTGTTATTTCCAATGATGCATGGATTATACAACTTGAGAAGTCAATCAAGTGGGCGTGTGAGTTGGTGTGCATATCTTAGAGAGAATATTATTGAGAAAAGCTCTCACCATCCATCCGGTTCATGTCTCCATATTCTGAATGTGTGTTCTACACTGAAATCAACTTGAGAGATCGAAGGTGTTCGGAATTAATGGAGTTTCAACCGGAGGTAATGATCAAGCTCTAGACTTCTTTACTGTATAGTTGTTGTTAGTACGAGGTTGTAGCAACGCGAACCTGGGGAGATATTTTGTTGGATTAACTTTGCGTTAGAGTTAAATGAGTTGTGATTGTTTGTGTCCTTAATCAGCACTAATTAGTGGAATATCCCTAAATGTAGATTTGTTGATAATCAAACAGTAACAAACATCTTGTCTCATTGTTATTTTATGTTTTGCATTGTTTCGTAACATTGTTATAGCTGTGAACCACCCACGATTAGGGAGTTGGCTATTTAAAGTGTTCGAATGTGTCTTGTTCGATAAATCACTTTCCCAACAATCTCGTTAAAGTTACGTAGCCACTTTGATTGGACACAAAAACTAAAATAATAATAATATAATATGAAAATAAAAATATTATAAAAAATTATTAAAAATTGTTAATAAAAAATTAATAAGAGTGTATTATAACAGTAAAAATTAATTATTATTTATTAAATAAAATTATAAATAAATAAAATTATTTATTATAAATAAACTATATTTTAATAGATGCCCACAAAAATAATAATATAATTTTAATGAACATTTTAAAGAGTATTATTTTTCATCCGTCTCAAATCAATTGCTCAATTACAAAGTCATGATTAAAAAATAACATGTACGTCAACATTTTTTTCATTTATGTAAAAAATAATTATATGTATAATAGTATCTTAAAGATATTTAAGAATTTGTATATGATTATTTTTACTGAATTATAAAATAGATATTTAAGAATAGGACAAACAAAAATGATAAAAAAATTAATTTAAATTAAAAAATTCTTAATTTGCAATTTAATTCAATAAATATTTAAGAATAAGACAAACAAAAATAATAAAAAAAGTAGTTTGAATTAAAAAAATTCTTAATTTGCAATTTAATTCCTATTATATTAACCAGCTTATGTATTTTAAAAGAAAATATGTGAAAAGTAAATAAATAAATAATAGATTTTTTTATTTTAAAAAGAAAAAAGTGATCCAAAAAGGAAAAAATAGAATAATTTTGGATGAGAAGTATAAATTCCACAGTTATTTTACCAACCAAATCCTAAATATAATAAATCTTATCGCATAAATCATACTGAAAAATTCCAATCCCGATCAACCAAACAGCCCCTTGTTTTAAAGGAACATTTAACCATTATTTTAAATCTAACTCCCAATTAAATGTCAATATTCTCTAAATTCCAATCAACACATTAAACCCCTCCCAATAGAATACAAGAATAGACACCATGATCACAGCAAATCCCAAATCAATAATCAATGAAATTGGATGATCAAACAAACTTTGATGCAAAGTTGTAAAATTTACACCACAAACACACACAATCAATCTCACTGTTCAATCTAATTAATCCCTATATATCTAACCCGAAACTTTGACGTCATTGCATTACTTACGTAGCTTCCGGAAATTCCGAAATTTTTTCATTACCTCCGCAACCGATCCCTATTGAAAAAGGGGTGTCTCAAAGCCTCCTGTGCAGACAGCCGTTCCGCAGGATCGTATTTCAGAAGCCCCTGCAATAAGTGGATAAGATCCCCGGCCGAGTGATCCACGTGTTGCATTATTACATTCTGTAGCCTCGGCAACTTCAGCACCGATCTTAAACTTTCTCTAGAAGTCGCTCCATATGGCCAGTCTAGCCTGCCCCTTGTTACATACTTCTCGGCATGTCGGCTGCAAGGACAAATTTAGAAATAAATAAATATCTTTCTAAGACAATCCAAAGGGAAGAAGAAAGTAGAGGCAGCTCACTCGGCTTTCTTTAGCACGTGCTGAGGCAAAGGGCCGAGCACTCGTTCCATCATTGCTAGGTGCTCCAAGTTATCGTGTGTTTGGAATAAAGCATCACCCTGCAGTCAATTTATAAAAATCGGCGACTCAAATCAAGAATCCCATCACTGATTAGGAGAAAAAATGAAAATGGATTTTTATCATACCGAGCAAAGTTCAACCAAAATGCAGCCAACGCTCCATATATCGCAAGGGTAACTCCATCCAAGCCCTGCTCGACCCAAAGGAGGACATTAAATCAAAATCAATACAAGTTGTTCATTCTAGAGATCAAAAAGATACCTAAGATGACTTCAGGAGCTCGATAATGTCTGGTCGAGACAATGTAGGTCTGATCTTGCTTGTCGTATGTTGCGCTGCCGAAATCAATAACCTTGATAGCACTTGATTTTGGAATTCTCTTGTAGTACGTACTGTCCTTTGCAGATCTTGACGATATCTGGAGACAAACCGGTAAAACATTTACTGAGAGAAAGGACAAGACAGATGCAAAGCATGTGAAAATGATGATTCCAATGCAAAAACATATGGCTGAAAAGTTCGATCACACAAATTACCTTTTCAGGAACTCTTACATATTCTGGTGAGACTAGAAGAATATTCTCCGGCTTCAGGTCTGTATGGATGAGGTGCAAATCGTGCATAACTGAAAATACGAAAATCAATTATCACAATCTAAAACACATCTAAAGGAATTGGGTTTTATATTAAACCAGTTATGATGTACAATGACATTTTCTCAGATATTAGAAAATAAAATCGGTACTATTGCTATCCTATAGATAAAATTGTTTCATATTTAATAATATAACTGATAGGAAGAAACTATTTACACACATGCTACACATTCCAACAGTTGTCTTCCAATCTCACGGACAAGATCAATGGGAAATGAGCGATAATTGTTTTTGCGTAGGAAATCGTATAAACTTGGTCCAAGCTTCTCAAAGACCTGTTGAAACCATTTAAGCCCATGGGCAGCTTTAATCCCCGTGGTATGTGTTAAGACTGGGGAAATTAATCCACCAAATCAATCATATACTTACGATACAGATATGGTTACGATAGTCAAACCAGTTCCGTATTTGAACACAACTGCAAGGAATAAACTTGTTCAACCACTGAATCATTCACCAAATTCAAAAGTGTTGCAACACCATCACACACACAAATTAGGAACTCACCGATTGCCATCTCTGTCATGTCTACCGAGTTTTTGGAGCACGTCAATCTCAATCATAGCTGCATCACGATACTTCTTTATACTACGTATAATTTTAATGGCTACCATTTCATTCTTTTCCCTGTCCCAACACTCCAAAACCTGACCGAAGGTACCTGCACAAAGATTTTTAATCAACAAAAAGCTAATAATATATCACAACCAATCAACATATAAGGAAGAATGGATATACCTTCACCCATCTTGCGGTGGATCTTATCTGCAAATAGATAAATCCAAACCAGAATTAGTAAAAAGAATAAACTGGAAATTTTCAAAAATCAACGAAATATGTAATCTGTTTATAATAGAGAAAGAAAAAAAGAAAAAAAAAGGAGGAATTTAATCATTTTGATCTCAATGATTTGACAGTGACATCCTGATTCCTGAGTCGATATTGGGTGTGTAATGGAAGATACTCCAAGATGAAATCAAACCCTCTTCTACGCACATTTGGCTAAAATAGCACTAATTCAATTAACCAAGATGGCTCATAAAATCCTAAAAATATAACAAAAATAATAGCTTCTGATATGGTAAAGGTAGTTTACAGCGAGAAGTTATATGTTCTCCGATCTCAAACACATAATGGCCATCTTTGTCATCTTCTCGCCATGGGGGAGAACCATTATGTGCCAAAGTCTTAACAAACAATGTACTAGGATGTTCCAAGAGCGCCCTTGAAGGTGCATAGCTTGACACATCCTCAATCTCTTGAGCAGTAAACAATCCTAGCTGAGCCTACAAACAGGCATCCATTCATATCTTTCTCAATATAAACAATTATCAGTTCCGGTTACCTCCTCAATACCACTAACACCACAACAAATACTATACAATCTAAAAATCAATCAGAAATATAGATAATCTATAACAAATATCATCCAACAATTAACAATTTCGATTAACTCTCAAATTCAAAGCAATTCACGTCCACGGAATCAGAAATATAGAAAACCTATTACAAAAATCATCCAGAAATTAACAATTTCGATTAGCTGCTCAATACCACTGTAAAAACAAGATAAAATTCAGAAATCAAATCTAAAGAATCAGAAGTCCAATCAATCTAATTAACAAAGACATCATACAAATCCAGCTACATGGATATTGAAAATACACACTAAATATCAAAAGGTGTATCTTGACTACAAGAACCATCGCAAATAGTTTATTATTTCGTAGCCATTAGAGGAATTATATGATTCCTTTTTTCTCAGGAAACAATTGTCAAGATTAACATAATTGTTTGTATTCAAACCTAAATAAATAAATAAACAAGAATTCGAGTTATTCTCAATTCCCCTCATACAAGAGGGGGTGAAAAACACAATTATAAACCACAAAATACGGCCGGCCATTACAGCAATAAAAAACAACCACCCAAAATTCAACCATACCTGATTCTCATATCATAATTTTCAATCAGATCTACAAAAACAGACTATCAAAAAAATTCCAATAATTCACAGATCTGGATGAGAAGTACCTTAGGGGGTTGAGTAAGGACATCCCAACCCAAACGCGGCCTTTTTCTCGGCCGCCGATCCATCGTCAGTTCGGTAACGCGTTCCATCTCCATATCAGAACAGCGTCAAAAGATTTTGAGGGGAATGATGCCTTGGCAGAGAGTATATTCTGTTAGAGAGAGAGAGAGAGAGAGAGAGAGAGAGGACCGAAAACCAGTTTATGAAGAGGTGGAGGGAGCTACCCAAATATTGACTTAACGAATAGGGCAAGTTGGTTGCGACGAAATCTGACCGTCCACGTGGCGCGCACGAAACCCCATCTTTTGGTTGATGATGATTCTTATTCGTTTATGGTTTGACTGGAGATTAGCTGATTTATCATTATTTAAAATATATTAAAAGTAAAATATAAATGGTTGGTATTTGTTGTTCATATTTTATACTCTTCCCTTCCTATCACATCATTTATTCTTTTTATTTTTTAAAATGCCATTATACACTTTAATACTATTTTAAATTTTAAATTTTATAATTTTTAATTTAAATTAAAGTATTTAGTTATCTTAATCTTAACTTATAATTATTTTTATTAAATAATAATTATTTACTAATTATACTTTATCTAAATTGCCGTATCTACGATAATAAGTCCAAAAATATATGAGATTGAGGAAATAGTAATCTATCTGTCTCGTGGAATTATTTTTTACACTAATTTTTAGTTGTTTCACCAAATTAGTAACTTTCTTTATTTAGGGTGTATTTGTTCAGGGGTTTGGATCTTTCGGTTGGAATTTGAACAGTAAAAAATTTGAATTTAATAGTTGTATGATGGGATTTAAATAGATGTTAATGTGATGTTTTGAATTTAAATTGATTTTTAGTATAATATAAAAAATAAAAATAAATATTTGATTGATATTTTTGGAAAAAAATGAGATGAATAGTGTATTTAAAATTCAAACAAACACACCCTTAGTATTTTTTTTCTTTCCATTTTTTTTGTTCATTATTTTATTTTTTTTCCTCTCATCTATTTTATTTTTGTCTTTTAAAAAATATAATTATATATTTTAAATTTTATAATATTTAATTTTTAAGTTCGATTATACTATTTAGTTATCTTGATTTTAATTTTTAATTAATTTTATTATACACTAATTATTTGTCATATCAAGGTCATGTTCAGAACAAAGTCATATTGTTGTCCGTGTTCATGTCTGAGTTGTCAACGCAGACATGTTCATGTCTATGTTCACGATTTTGTTTTAAAAAAAAACTATGTTCTAAATCATGATAACGTTTCTGTTTTGAATATGGTTATATTAGTTATCATTTTTAATTTTTTTATTCAAATGACTTGATATATATTTATATTTTAACGGACATTTTACTTTTTACAATTATTTACAATAATTATTGAAAAAAAAAATATTCTCCGTCGGTCAAATTTATTTTCACTTTTCTTTTTCGTCCGTTCATCAAATTTACCATATTACTATATTTGAAAAATTTTCAAAAAATTTATATCTAATTATTGCATTTTATTCAATATTTATTTACAATAAATACCACACTTTATTACATTATATTTTTATCTCTTTCAAACAGTTAAACTAATACATTTACCATCAAACTATCTTGTATTTTTTGTCTTGTCTCAAAAAATAATATATATATATAAATTTATTAAAATTTAAATATTAATTTAAAAAATCGGGCAGGCAAGGCCCGAAAATTTTCGAGCCTATTTTTTTAGATATAAACACAAGTTTTTTGTACCGTGCTCGGACCGAGCTTTCGGGCAGTATTTATTTTTGTCACCCCTAATTTTTTTAAAATCCCAAGCCCAAATGAACTAAATTTGTGAGATGAAGAAATATATTTTATTGAGATCCTATACATTTGCTTTAATTCATAATTATATATATTTATATATTTATGACGTAAAAACCCGCTAGATAAATATCATGTTGGACAAGATCGTAAAAATTGTTTCCACCCCATAAATAATATAATTATTTGATATAATATTTGTAAAAAATAAATAAAGAGAATTATAAATATACTATTTCTTTTAGGTATAAAATATCACATAAATATACTATTTAAATAAAAAATCAATTAACATTTCAATAATAATCTAATTTTATACCTAATTATATGTTTTGTTTTTATTTTAATACAAAACAATTAAACCTAATCTTACTAAAATTATACTAATCTCCCCTATATATATATATATTGTTAGTATTTTGCGTAGAAAGTGAAAGAGAAAATAACATACTGCAATGAGGAGATAATTCTCTCCTCATTAGTAAGTAAAATGGTATTATATGATAAATTGGATTGGAGTGAATGGGCTCTTTGATTAGACTAATATATATATATATATATATATATAGTCAAGATTGGACTTGGGGCAATTGTTTCGCAGAATTGTTGGTATAAATTTCACGGATTCGAAACTCAATTAAAACCCAGATCCGGTACTATATATTATTTATTATATAATTAGATATTCTATTACATAATAAATATTTATATCATATTTTATAAATTTAAAATTTTTGTCCTATTTCATTTCATCTAAAAATAAAAACAACATGATGCTGCAAAATTCGCAATTTTTTTTTTCCAAGTTATCTTAAATTTAGTGTAAGGATATTGGACCCGACACCGGATCCGGTCCACAACTTTCAGGTTCGACGGATTCGGATCAGGAAGAATTAAAAGGACGGTTCCGGACCGTTCCGGATCTGGAACCATAGGATCCGGCCTGTCTACAGCCCTAGGCACAACCATCACCATAACTCACCAACAACAAGAACAAGATCAATTTACGCTCAAAAATTGTTTTGGAAGAGGCACCAGATTGTCTACCTCTCAATAGCCACCAAAACAAAATCGGATTGCTCCTTGATCAAGACGTCTCGGATTTTTTTAGGACATTGAGTAAAAATAAACTATGAGTCCTATAACATATAATTAAAATATATTTTTAAAATAATATTACTTATTGGCGTCGATTGAATAAGAGATTGAACTTAACGGTTTGGACAGTATCGATTTGAGAAAAAAATATGAAAGACAGACTTTTCGGAGGTTCGAAAAGCGAGAAAGACTGAGATATAAAAAAGAATATATAATTAAAATTTAAAATTTAATTTTAAAATTAAATTGGATAACTGTGAAGAAGAAAAAATATAAAATAAAAGTTAAAATGTAATTTTAAAAATTTGAAATTTAATAATAATAATGAGTAATATTTTAAAATATGTCATCTATAAATTAGGAGCCTTGAGCAATTGCTCATCCTACTTCTGCTAAGAGACTTAACTCTTAAACGAGCCAACTACATATTGTCTTCTTTGGGCTGAGCTCCTTCGTACCAGTGGAGTTTATTTATGACTTATAAATTAACATAATTCATTCAATGGATGCAATTTATTTATAATAAGAAATAATTAATCTACCAAACTTCAAATCGTATTTACCAAACAAAGCGGTGCCGTGGAATGCCCTGTTGAGGCGCGACAATTTGCATATCTCCGGCGACCGTGGAATGCCCTGTTGAGTCGCGACAATTTGCATATTTCCGGCGACATTAGATAGCGGAGCATGAGCGTCATGAAATCTTCCCGCATGTCTCCCAGGCCCGACCCGGCCCGCTATGTTAAAATGAACTTTCAAATCAAATCACTTAAATGAAGAAAGAAAGACAAAAACATAATAGCAATCAACCAAGAAGCGAAGAAAAGAACATCAACTACGGGTTACTACGTCATTTAAAAAAAATAAATTAAAAAAAAAACGTTTAGGAGTAGAAAAGTAATATTAAGTATTAGATATATGTATATATATATATATTGTTTATTTAAATCTAGGGATCTACAAATTCAATTAGAAATGATTGACAATGGCATCAAGTTACTACTCCCAATTTGTTCTCATCGACGGAATTCCTGACCATATTGCAGAGATCATATTAGAGAAATTATGGGCAGTGGACCGAGTTCGCCTGAGAACAGTTTCAAAGGCATGGAATACTACCCTGCGCCAGTTACGCGGCGCACGGCCGGCGTCGGAGCTGCCATGGAAGATCCTGTCGAAAAGCTTCGATCAAGAAACCAATCCCAAGAAAATTAAACTGCTAAGCCCAAGGAACCAAGAATACACTTTCGAGTATCCCAACAATGGCCAATGCTGCTGCGGATCTTCCGGGGGATGGCTGTTCATCGGCGGCGCCGGCGATAGCGTCGCGGAAATTGGGAAGATTCTGCTGTGGAATCCGCTGTCCGGAGAAATTAGGAATCTTCCTCCCCTGTCGTCATTGCAACTTTTTGAGAACGCTGTCGATGCCAGATTAGGGTTTGGGTACAACTTCTTATCTTGTTACGTTACGAGAGTTCATGTCTTCTCCACCAATTCCGGCGAGCTTGCGGTGGCAATGATTGTCGGTTTTCTGTTCTCGGTTAGGCGCCGGCGGCTGATCATCTGCACGCCGAATGATCCGCAGTGGACGCCCGTGGATACGGAGATCGTCAATGAGAACCCGATGGACGTCCTGTTTCATAGAGGCAAGCTGATTGTCTACTGTAAAGATCCGTTGAATTTAAATGATTTCAACGGAGTTATCGGACATGGCTGTCGCACTATTAGTCTAATAAACGGCGGCGAGGTGGAGATGGAGATTGTGACCATGGTGCCCGGAGTACCTGCTTGGCGATTTCAAGGCCTTCCTCCGCCTGGCTTATCTCTGCACAGAGGAGTTTTTAGAGATGATTTTTTGGTGGCGCTGCTGTCACCGGCGGCGTCTGGCGAGATACTGGTGGTGAGCGCTAGGATGGATATTTACACAAGTAGAAGTCTTCATTTTCCGTCGTACGTGTGGTCGGAAATTGGAGGTTTTGAAGTGCACCGGGTTAATGTTGGCGGCAGCGGCAGCTCTTCGGAGAAGCTTACGAGCATGGGGCCGCAGGCGGTATTTGTGGGTGGAGGTTGCGACGCCGTATCGACGGCGGTGAATGATGTTGATAACGGTGAATTTTCAAATGATTTCGTATATTTCACGGTGAACGGTTATTTGAAGATTTCGTCCCGCGCCGGAGCGGATCGCAGCATCAACGATAGCTACAGGCATGACCAAAGAGGCATATTCAACCTACGGAACAACGTGGTTTTACTAGATGCCACGTCGTATGATCAGACTAAATCAAAACTTCTTGGATGGTTTATACCCAAAATATAGAAACTAATACAAAAAAAAAGGACCGTAGTTTTTCATTTTAAGGCAATTGGAGTAGAATTTCGATTTTTAGTTTGAATGAACTTTTTTCAAATAAAGTAGTTTTTAAAATTACTACAAATATGAATATATATATATATATTTTAAAGCAAAAGTCAAAAACATTTTTCATAAGTCAATCCAAATGGAATCAAAATATTCTAAATTAATTTAATGATTCTTTTTTTTTTTTTTTTTAAGATCTCCTATCTTTTGAAGTTGAATTTTTCAATATAAAACACATATTATAGAAGGTTTAAACATCATTCATCTAGTTAGTTTGTAAATTTAACATAATCAAAGACAATAGCTTTTGTTACAATCCATTGTCCTAGGAAGTGTTTTCGAGACCAAGTTCTTCGTCATCGCCGACACATAGAGAATATTGATCAGTATCACAATCCTTCTGAATGTCATCTTCAAGAGCACTTTCCTTCCTTCTTTAACTTCAGTTAAAGAAACATTCCCATATATATTATTTCTCCTTCGATAGGTTCAACCGTAAAAATTTGGATCTATCCATGTGGATACTGTATTTGTAATACTCCGGACTTGGGCCGGTGTCAGGCCATTCAAGAATGAATAGTAATTAATTGGAATAAAGTCAACAACGGGAGCCCTACTAAAAAAACTTTAAATTAAGCGCTTGAGCGAGGACATAAGCAGGACTCGTCCTGTGGGGCCAATCTAATCCCAACTTTCTCGACTTTACGTGACTTGCAGGCCGGAGTGTGACACAGTGTTGCTCCCGTTTAGATTCACCACTATTTTCTACTTGATCCTACTACATTTGCCTTGAATACATACATAAGGCTAGTGGTTCTTTCTCTTCATTAATGAGGTTTTTCACATTCCCTCTTTCTTTCTCCTCAACGCCTTACAATCTATCGAATGACGTCCCGAAGTTTTGCAATTGAAACAATTGCCTTTGAACCTTCTCATCAATTTTGCTTTATCAATTCTTGTTAGATGACATTAGTTTCTCATTTCAAGCTTCTTGTTGTTCCTTGAAGTAAGTGTGGAATGAGAACATTTACCTTTGTACATAATTACATTGGTCTTGCTTTCAAACATTTGATTCTTCTAAATCGCCAAGTTTGACTATGTTTCTTTTCAGTTTGAAGATGATTGATCAGTTTTTATTAATTTATTTAAATATTGAAATCAACCCAATTAGGCGATAAATTTTGAATTATTGCCACCACTTGGAGAGTTTCACTCAACTTCATTCACTCGGTTTGATTTCATGCAAAAATCAATTGAAAGGCACATTTTATAATGTTAGGACCAGATGTGAAGGTTATCAATTTTTTTTTTGCATGTTCGTACAAGCTTCAACAAATTCTGTAATAATTGAAAATTATGGTAAAATAATCCAAACAGAGTCCAGATTGTTCTAAGTTGTTCAATTACATGCCTTAGGATTCATTTATTCCCTTTTCATTCATTGAGGTTAGAAGACTTGCCAGTAAATTACTGGTAGCAAGTGATAATGAGATTGAAGTGGGTGTGCTTGATGATCGATCATGAAAAGTAGATAACTCATTTTAATTTACAATGTGGACGGGATTGACAATGGCGCTATTGGTTAATTTATAGATGTAGACGAGCTTTCGAACCTGTTTTGTAGATGCTAATAAATTTTCCAACTGTACGTATGCTTCAATCACAGTTATTGTTCTGCTAAGATCTTGCCCTTGCCAACAGAGAGTCTATCGATATAAATGAGGCATGTGAGGTCGTGAATTAACCAATGATGATTGTTTTGTTTAAGGTGTAGCAGCAAGTTAGTTATCTTCTGTTTGGATGACATTATTCCTCTCTTGCTCTTCACCAGATCAGCGTCGACATTCATTCAGCTTAATCGGGGTTGCGACAGACAGTACAAAGGCCACACTTGCTGTCAAAACAAGACTTGCATGCGAGATACTTGTGGTGAGCTACCATGGATATGCACACAAGTATAAATCGTCAATTTCTGTCCTATGTGTGGTTCGATATGAGGTGCACTGAATTGATGCTTGCGGCGGCAGCTGCCCAGAGAAGCTTAGGAGCATCGGGCAGCAGGCGGTATTCGTTGGTGTAGGTTGTGATGCGGTATAGACGGCGATGAATGATGTTGATAACAGTGAATTTTCCAATGATTTCGTATACTTCATGGTCAACGGTTGTTTGAGGATTTCGTCCGGCGCCAAGGCTGGTTTTCACTTTTCTTGAGATCTCCGATCATATTTTTCTTTATAAAATACATATGTTAGCAGGTTTAAATCATATTCCTCTAATCAATTTATAAATTGAATTATAGTTTGACCCTTTGGTGTGCAAATGGCTATGTTATTGACTGGTTGCACGGTCAACTAAATAATTATTTTTTTATCTACAATTAAAAAATTAATGTAATATAACGGATTTGTATAATAATAATTTCTTCGTGTTTTAAAAATATTAAGAAGATGGAGTTTGAATTAAATTTAACCTAATACTAGAAAATGGCTGAAATTCAAGAAAGTAAAGAACATAAATCTCAATAAACAAGAAAGAAACTTATATAATATAATGGCCTAGTCCAACTATTGATTTCGGTACGAGATTTGTATTGGGTAATTTAACTAAAAATAATTCTCATGATGTTGATAATTAGTTATAGATATCAATAAGTTTTGGCGTTCATTTTTTTTCTTACTGTATAAACAATTAAGGTGTGCCTGTTAATTGTCCCTAATTAGACTAATAACCCTAGATACGACAGTAGACATATAATTGCCTAATTGCATTATAATCTAGAAAACCTAGTTGGTATTACTTACTTTCTACGCGGAGCAGTTAACATTCAATTGCATAATCTACGGGATGTAACTACTGAACTTGTGTGCCACTTATTAAAACAAAAATGCAATTGTGAATACCCTATTTGAATTGATATTAAACTTTTGATTTAAATAAAGTCGGATAAAAAATATCTATTCAATTCAACAATCATAAATGGTCAACTTAGAAATTATGCAAATACCAGTAATCAATAAGGAATCAAAAAACATATGAAAATCTCATACAATGCAAATGAAAGAAAACAATAGAAATAGATATAGAGAGCATGAGAAAAGTATATTGGTGTTGTTCTTTTGCTGTTGAATAGCTCTTACGGCTATCGAACGACTCCAGAACTACAACTGCACTGCTCTGCACTCTCGCCTTGGCAATGCCGTATTAAATCAATCTGATTGTCTACTGTAATAAGTTGGATTTAACTGGCTTCGACGGCGGACATGGCTGCCGCACTGTTAGCCTAATAAACGACGGCGAGGTGGAGGTGGAAAAAAAAAATACATGACTATTGACTACGATGATGTATTGTCTGCTTTATTTATTTATTTATGATAAATAATTATACTCATTGATTTCAAGCAATACCAAAATAATTGATGTTATTGTTCTATATTTTGAAAAAATTTTGAAATATGACATCTCGATAATTTTCCGACAATAAATATTTTGTGCTATTTTAAAAATTTTAAAAATATCTCTCTTCTTGTCAAATTGTGATTCCGCCACCTGAAACAAACACAGCCAAGAGTATTGCTTTGGCATTGCCCATTGTGAGTGGAAATTTAGGTCCCTCGTCTCGCTTCTCTCTTGCTGTATTATGGCGACGATGATCTCTTCTTCGTTCTCTCATTCATAACATCGTCGAAGAGTTCGAAAGAAACACCAACTTTAGCTAATCTTACTGTTCCTCTACTCTGTGCATCCTTTGCCAACCATAGGAGATGCAGTATGGCTGCCTGGTTATCGTCCTTTGCCACATCATTTCTCTTGATCGCCATGGATTAGAATTCACTCGGCATTAACTAACTTGAATGAAATGCGAGCAATGGTATTAGTTTTGTTTATATCTTTGTTGTGTGTTTTGTGTAGAATCACGGAAACAACACCAACATTGCCCAAGTTTGCTTTGGCCCTCAAACCCGATGAGTATCAGCTCCCTCTTGTGGATGACTCTTGGAGTAACCAAGCAATAACGACCTCTGACAAGTCGAAGGAGTAATAATTCTCCCACAAGCAACGGCATGTCATGATGGCTGGTGGTGTCGCTCGCGTTCCTGCAAAGCGAATGGCGTAAGGCTCGGGCCGTGGTAGTGTTGTGTTGTGTTTGTGCAATAAATTGTTGTGTGACTAATTAAGGCAAGGCTCACATTGCCATTGCCGATTTGTTTGTTATGAAATGTGATTTTTTTTTTATTTAATGACGTAAGAATTCGCAATAGCTATCAAAAAATGCACGTCGGTTAAACTCTATGCCGAACTTAATACCCTGCAAATTAAGCTCGACAAAATAAAATATTCATTTTGGTGAAGGTGAAGAGGAAGGGGAAAGTCTTTCACTCAATATAATTATTTGATATAATATTAATGAAAAATAAATAGAGAATTGTAAATACACTATTTTTTCAATCGTATAAATATTCTATTTAAATAAAAAAAATTAAATTAATATTTCAATAATGATCTTATTTTATCTCTAAATATATATTTTATTTTTATTTTAAATACAAAACCATTAAACCGAATCCTACTACAATTCTACTAATCTCCCTCTCTCTCTCTCTCTCTCTATATATATATATATTGTTTAAATTTTGTTTATTTAAATCTACAAATCGACACATTCAATTAGAAATGATTGACAATGGCATCAAGTGACTCCCAATTTGTTCTCATCGACGGAATTCCCAATCACATTGCCGAGATCATATTACAGAAACTATGGACAGTCGATCGAATTCGCGTGAGAACTGTTTCAAAGGCATGGAATGCTACTCTGCGCCAATTACCGCCGTCGGAGCCGCCATGGAAGATCCTGTCGAACAGCTTCGATCAAGAAACCAATTCCAAGAAAATTAACCTTTTAAGCCCAAGCAAGAAACAATACACTTTCAAGTACCCCAACAATGGGCAATGCTGCTGCGGATCTTCCCGGGGATGGCTGTTCATCGGCGGCGGCGGCGATATGGTCGCGGAAATTGGGAAGATTCTGCTATGGAATCCGCTGTCCGGAGAGATTAGGAATCTTCCTCCCCTGTCATCATTGCAATTTTTCAAGAACGCTGTCAATGCCTGCTTAGGGTTAGGGCTCAACTTCTTATCTTGTTACGTTACGAGAGTTCATGTCTTCTCCACCAATTCCGGCGAGCTCGCGGCGGCGATGATTTTCGGTTTTCAGGACTCAGGTGCCCAACGGAGGTTGATCATCTGCACGCCAGACGATCCGCAGTGGACGGCCGTGGATATGAAGATCGGCAATGAGAACCCGATGGATGTCCTGTTTCATAGAGGCAAGCTGATATTCTTCTGTAATGATCTGCGGAATTCAACTTCTGTTTCCAATGGAGTTATCGGATATGGCCGCCGCACTGTTAGCCTAATCAACGGCGGCGAGGTGGACATGGAGATTGTAACCATGGTGTACTCAGGAGCACGTGAGGGCGAAATTCCACCCCCTCCTCCGCCTGGCTTCTCTCTGCACAGAGGAGTTTTTAGAGAGGATTTTTTGGTGGCGGCGGCGTCCGGCGAGATGCTGCTGGTGAGCGCTACGGTGGATCGACAAGCAGATATAAATGATCAATCACTGTCGTACAAGTTGACGAAAATCGGAGGTGTTGAGGTGCACCAGATTAATCTTTGCCGCGGCAGCTTGCCGGCGAAGCTTAGGAGCATCGGGCGGCAGGCGGTGTTCGTTGGCGGAGGTTGCGATGCGGTATCGACGTCAGTGAATGGTATTGATAACGGTGAAGCTTTGAATGATTTCATATATTTCACGGAGAACGGTATGTTGGTGATTTCGACCGGCGCCCGCGGCAATGGCATCATCCAGCGTATCTACACGGTTCAGCAAAGAGGCAAATTCAATGTACAAAACGGCGTCGTTTACACAGATTTCATATCGTACTTTCGGACTAAGTCCAAACTTCTTGGGTGGTTTGTGCCCAAAATATAGAAACTAATACGAAAAAAAAAGTTGTAATCTCTCATTTTAGGGTAATTCTAGTAAAAAATCGATTTTGTATTTGAATAAATTTTTTTAAAAAAATAGATATATATATATATATTTTTCTAATTATTTGAATATTATAAAATTAAAAACTTTTAATTGTTAAAATTACTTTAAAATAAAATATGCTATCAAATGTAATTTACTATATATTATTAGAAGATTTAAAATTCTACTAAAAAATAGATTTTTTTTATTCTCGTACATCCTACCTACTGTATGTAATAAACGGATAATGATATATTATAATACTTAACGTATAACTCGTGTTATGTAAGAGTAGTTAAAGTGATATTTGCTTTGATTTTGTATTTTAAATAATATTTGTTTATCAGTTTTCTAATAATAAAGCTTGATATGAAAATAGCTCAAATTTAATATTGTTTTTTTTAGTATTGTAACTAACATTTTTATTATTTTAGCGTCATAATTGGAGCGGAGATATGTCGGTCAATTTAGGCGCCACGTGGCATATACGTATCTGTCTGTCGTGTGGATATAAAAATTATAAAAAAATAAAAATAGAATTAAAAATAATTAAAATAAAAACAAAAAATTATCATGGCAGTGGACTATAGTTAAAAAAAATAAAACAATATACTAAATAAAAAAATAAATTATAAATACTCTAACTACACAAAATAAAGAATATTAAGTAAGTTAATCAAAGTTTCATAAAATATACTATATCCTACTATAAACTCAAATATAATAGAGATGAAAAATAATATTCATAATCACTCTTAAATTAAAAATTAAAATAAATTTGAAAAAAAAATTGTACCTGAAAAGAAATTATTAATATTTTGTGTGTTGACTATCTCAAGTTGGAATATTGTGAGGGGACTTCCTCTTAGTTATATGGAAGGACTGTTCCACTTACAACCACGATGGAGTTTCAGTTGGACTTCCGGATCCCCTTTTTAATATGATATTAAGTCATGGTGTTCGTTTTGACATTGATCTTTTACAAATTCCTCTAATACTCTTTCAAATAAAAAGACTTAAATTCTAAATATAATCTATTAAATTATAGAAAAACATTACCACTAGAAAAATATATATATTTTAATACTATATTCAAAACCAAATTAATTTTAAAAATTATATTAAATAAGAACGAAGAAAATGACCAATACAAAATAAAAATAATACAATATATAATTAAAAAAATATATACACAATGCAGCAACAGGCTGTCTAAAGGTAATAGCAACAACCTGCATTATGTGATCCGCAATAACAATAGGTTATAAGTCATCCAAGTCATGTAGTTGTTGTCCAACGGACACACTGAAATCCTGCGTAAGTTATACAACCATACGTTGTGGACAAGGCAAAACGATGGGTTGTCTCATGTTGGCATCAATAGGATGCCATTTTTTGTGCCCAATGTCAGGCTGGTTGGAAGTCGCAAGAATAGAGATCAGCAAAGTGGTGCGGGTTGGCTAAGATCGGGGAACAGAAGAAGCCGAAGTATGGGATTCGTTGTAATTGACCTCTTCATTCTCCTCTCCGTCTACAACAATCTAAACATCATTGTTTGTGTTTATGTCAACCCCATCATGCATAGCCTCGATCTTGGCAGCCCCTTTAAGCACGATCTGGGCACCCTCGATTTGGTTACCGATTTCAAAATTTTCATCATCCATCTAGATTTTCTCAAAAATCTAACTATTTATCCAAAAATTTTCATCTAAAAACATCAAATTAAATATCTATTTTTCATTTATATATTATACTCCCTCCGTCCAAAACACCCTGCAACATTTCCTTTTTGATACGTTCCAAATACCCTGCAACATTTATAAAATATGAAATAATTAATTATATTTAATCTCTACCCACGCTTTATCCTTTCATATCATCCAAATAAAAAAATAAAATATATATTTTTCTCTCCATCAATCACCTAATTTCTAAATTATCTTACTTAATACTACCCACCTAAAAACTGGTACCAAAAGTAAATGTTGCACCTTGTTTGGGACGGAGGGAATACTAAATATCAATTTTACATTTAAAACATTACGTCAACACTTATTTATACAAATATTTCAATTCAAAATTTTTACTATTCAAATCCCAACTTAAAATCCAAACCCCCAAAAATTTTGAATTTCAAAATTTGAGCTTACAGTTGCACATGAATTCCTTAAAGCGAATTTAGGCCCATCTTACTTCAAAAAAATATCAAATTATTTGAAATTATAAATTATACAACAAATCGAACTTAACAAATTTTAGAATTTTTTTTTTTTTTTTTTTTTTTTTGGAAAGAAAGGCTAGGGGAACTAACTACAAAATTGGGGTGCATAAAAAAAATAAAAAATAAAAAATAAAGGGAGTAGGTTAGTAGGACTTTTTGGTATGTATTGTAAATGACATGAGAAAAAAGAGAATCACACCACCAAAACCACAGTTCATCCCAAATAGGATTTTAAGGTGAGATAATCCTAAATAGATTTATAATCCTCTTACATTCTACTGTATATAAAGATTTAAAACTAATTACTAAAAGATTATATTTTAAAACTAATTACTAAAAGATTTAAAATTATGTTAAAACAAAATAGATTATAATCCTTAATAAGCTGCAACTTAGTAGATATAAAACTTTTTTTTTTCGATGATGTAAAAAATCTAATATTGTCGAATTTTTTAGGAATTTTTTAATCCGAAATCATCTGTTACAGTAAGTGTCTCCGCTGCATTACTTTTTTCTTTTATTCTCTCGTATCCACATCGTAAACATTCAAATTACTTTGAGATAGATTATAATATATCATTCTCTTTATATATATAGTAATATTAGTTCCATAAAATTGACTCAAAGCACACAAAAAATTTCATATCTACTATGGTGTGTTTGTTCGAGGGTTTGAATTTTGGATTGAGATTAGAATACTAATAAATTTGAATTTGAATAATTGGATGATGTGATATAAATAAGAATTGATGTGATATTTTGAATGTAAAATTGATTTTTAATATAATATAAAAAATGAAAAATAAATGTTTGATTTAATATTTTTGGAGGAAAAATTTTTTGGGAATAGCAAAAATCCCACAAAATCCCTCAAACAAACACACTTTAATTCGTGTTTTTTTTTTTATCTATTTAATATAAATTACATTTTCCTTTAATTTATATATAAAATTTTACTTCTAATTTTTAAAAGTGTAATTTTATTTATCAGTCAATATAATTATCAATAAAAATATATTAGTATTTTATTGTAAAATATTGGATCAGAGCATTTTACTAACAAACCGAATAAATTATGAAAACTGAAAATTTTTATTATATCTATAATCAAAATAAGGACCTACATACACGCATCGTGAAACTCGATAAACTCTAAACAAAATAATTCTAATATATGGATAAAATCAAATCGTAATTAAAACCTATCAAATTTAAAATAAATCAATCAAAATTAATCTAAACGAATAGTAAACTCAATCTAAATCTAAAATATCTCAACAAATTCGTATTTCTATCGTATTCGAAACTTACATATTTAAACAAATTATCTTCAATTTCAATCACAAAGTTTCGACAATGGAGTCGACTTCTTGCTCGCAAATCATTCTCAATGAAATTCCCAACCACATTGCCGAGATCATATTAGGGAAATTGTGGACAGTCGATCGAGTTCGCCTGAGAACCGTTTCGAAGGCATGGAATGCTGCTCTGCGCCAATTAGGCGGCGCACGGCCGGCGTCGGAGCTGCCATGGAAGATCCTCTCGAAAAGCTTCGAACAAGGAGTCAATCCTAAGCAAATTAAACTTTTATGCCCAAGCAACAAAAGGGAATACACTTTCAAGTATCCCAACAGTGGCCAATGCTGCTGCGGATCTTCCGGGGGATGGCTGTTCATCGGCGGCGGCGGCAATAGCGTCGCGCAAATTGGGAAGATTCTGCTATGGAATCCGTTCTCCGGGGAGGTTAAGAATCTCCCTTCTCTATCGTCATTGCAATTTTTCGAAAACTTTGTCAATGACGGATTTAGGTTAGGGTTCAATTTCTTATCTTTTTCCGTTAGGAGAGTTCACGTATTCTCCACCAATTCCGGCGAGCTCGCGGCGGCCATGATTGTCGGTTGTCTGGTCGCACCTGGCTACCGGCGGCTGATCATCTGCACGCCGGACGATCCGCAGTGGACGGTCGTGGATATGAACATCATCAATGACGCATACATGGCGGACATGCTGTTTCATGGAGGCAAGCTGATTGTCTACTGTAATAAGTTGGATTTAACCGACTTCGACGCTGCCGGCAACAGAGTTATCGGAAATGGCTGCCGCACTGTTAGCCTAATAAACGGCGGCGAGGTGGAGATGGAGATCGTGACCATGGTGCACGGAGGAGCACGTGCTTGGCGATTTCAACACCCTCCTCCGCCTGGCTTATCTCTGCACAGAGGAGTTTTTAGAGATGATTTTTTGGTGGCGCTGCCGGTGTCCGGCGAGATACTGGTGGTGAGCGCTACGATGGATATGCACACAAGTATCAGTCGTCAATTTCCGTCGTACTTGTGGTCGGAAATTGGAGGCTTTGAAGTGCACCGGGTTAATGTAGGCGGCGGCGGCACCTCGTCGGAGAAGCTTACGAGCATTGGGCAGCAGGCGGTGTTCGTTGGCAGAGGTTGCGATGCGGTATTGACGGCGGTGAAGGATATTGACAACGGTGAATTTTCAAATGGCTTAATATATTTCACTGCGAACGGTTATTTGAATATTTGGTTGGACGCGGACCGCGTCCTTAACGATAGCTACATAATTCACCAAAGAGGCAGACTCAACTTACGGGACAATGCATTACTTCTAGATGCCACGTCTTATGACGGGACTAATTCAATGGTTCTTGGATGGTTTATGCCCAAAATATAGAAACTAATAAAGAAAAGAAACTTTGTAGTTTCTTTTTTAGAGCAATCCGACTAAGAAGTTTGATTTTGTATTTGAATACTTTCAGAAAAATAGTTTTTTTTTTTTTTAATTGTTTGAATATGATAAAATTTAAAACTTCTTTTTTTTTTTTTTTTTTGTTAAAATTACTAGGAGTGTGTTTGTTTGAGGGTTTGAATTTTGAATTGGAACTTAAATAGTAAAAATTTTAAATTTGAATAGTTGTATGATGTGATATAAATGGATGTTGATATGATGTTTTGAACGTAAAATTGATTTTTAGTATAATATAAAAAATTAAAAATAAGGAAAAAAATAAAATGAATAGTATATTTAAAATTCAATCCTTCAAACAAACACACCCTAAAAAGAATATGCTAACAAATGTAACTTACTACTATTAATATTTTTAATTTCTTTTAAAATTATATAAATTATATTTAAAAAAATTAAATTATATTGAAAATATATTTATTAAATTCTACAAATCAATTATATTTGAAATTATTCATAATAAACCAATATATATATTAATTTAAAATAATATCAAAAGTTCGCAGTATAATATAAACGTATAGCATAAATATATTATTATTACAATATAACTTAGATATTGTTGAAGGTAGTCGAAATAATCATAAATAAATACGCACAAACTATATTAAATTAAAAATCTTATAGTTATTAATTTTATAATATTTTATTATATTTTAATTTAATATATCAATATTTCTTTGAATTAAATATATAATTAAAATTAAGATCAAATTACGATTTTCTTTGAAAAAAAAAAGTTGAAATTATGAATTGCAAGAAAAAAAAAATTAAAAAGTAAATATAAACCAATGGTTCTAGTTTTATGAAATAAAATATAAATATATAATTTACTTTCACCACAATGAGAATGTAATGTATGCGTTTAATTGAAATATGAATAAAGATGCAGAGGGTGTTTGGTAAATAGTTTTTAAACAGCTTTTAGCTGTTTGACCGGTCAAAAAATTAATTTAAGTGTTTGGTAAATTAGTTTTTTGGAATAACTTTTTTGACCCAAAAAGCTAATTTAACTTAGCAGCGTTTTGAAATAGTTTTTTTCTGTAAAAAATTTTTTATTCCTTATATACCCTTAAAAATTTATTATGCATTTTACACAAATAAATATTTTTTGATTATTTATTAATTATATTAGCATATTTTATTATATTATAATTTTACTTTTATAAATTTAAAATAATTAATTTTTATATATAAATTATTTTAATTGTAAAATATATAAATTTATTAAAATCAACATAAAATAGAAAATATAAATATTAATAATTTATTTTTATATTAAAATTACATTATATAAATTTTATGCTAAAAATAAATTAAATAAATTAAATTTATTGAAAATTATAAATATAATGAACTAATCGATAACTAACATAATATATATACACAAAAAAATTATTATTTTATACTAATCGATAACTAACATAATATATATACACAAAAAATTTATTATTTTATATTTTACATCATTTTCAATAGAAAAAATTATTTATATATTTTTATTATTTTTTAAATCTAACTATAATAAAAATAAATACTCTTATAACACTTTTACAATTTTCAATAACTAATAACAAGAAATTTAAAACATTCTAAACTCAAAAAACATAATTGAATATATTAGAAAATAAAATAAAATAGAAATGTCCTCAATTGTCATTTTACGTATAAAGAGCTAATATCAAACAGTTATTTTACCAAACATTTTAATACAAACAGCTAATCGAATCAACTAGTCAAACCAGCTAATTGAATCAACTAACAGCTAACCGCTATTAGCTAATTAAATCAACTAACAGCTACACAGCTAATTATCAAACAAGCCCATAGTATATTCATTAATTGAAAATGGAATGGCTTAGGGATATGTATATATTTGGTAAAATTGATATGATAATGGCAAGTCCCTAAGTCCTTCAGTCTGTTTAGTGAGCAATTTTGATATTATTTTATTTTTTAAAGATATTAAATCAAATATATATTTTTATATAAAATATTACATTAAATATTAATTATTTTATTTTTAAAATTTTAAAAATTTCTGAATATCTCTTGCCTGAACAATATAATAGGTGTGTTTGTTTGAAAGTTTGAATTTTTAGTTAAAATTTAAATAATAAAAATTTTGAATTGAAATAGTTGTATAATATGATATAAATATACATTGATTCAATATTTTGAATGTAAAATTAAATATAAAAAATAAAAAATAAGTATTTGATTTGATAATTTTAGATAAAAAAAAATTGATAAACCCCAAACAAACACACTCATTTTTACGTATAATTTCTTGATACATTAAGTAATACTCCCTCCATGTCATAGCGGGCTGTTTTACCACAACCACAAGAGAGTATAATTAGTAAATGATTAAAAATATATTAATAAAAATAATTATAAATTAAAATTAAAAAATATAAACTTAAAAAGTTAAAATATAATTATAATTATAATTATAATTTCTCTGAAAAAAAAAACAAAATAAGTGAAACATAAAAAAATAAAAATAAAATAAAATAAAATTAAAAAAAATGGACAAGTAGAACAAAGTGAGTATTTGAGTTTCTATTAAAAATATGTTCATCTAATACATTTATTAAATACTCTCTCCCCTTCTCAAAAAAATATTCTCGTTTTTAAGTAAAAAATCATTATACTTTTGTATATTTTTTTTAGTATAAAAATAAAAAATTATTATTATTATTACTCATTTTTATTAAAATCCGAGTCCGATCAGATCAAACGAACACGCCATGGAGATCAAGATATAATTTCAATTAACACCGGACATGTATTAATTAAAACTATACATTGTAGGTCTACAAACATTCATTAATTCAACAGATATGCTCACTGCAAAAAGGATCACATTATGGAAGGACAATTTGATCATTTGAAATTGAGTTGCAAAATTAACTACAAACTATATGAAACTAAATGTGATTCAAAACACAACTAATTTACATTTCAACATTCATTCGAAGATCTTTATCCTCAAATCCAAAGCGAAAACGAAACAAGAAACATCCTTCATTCACTCCCAAGAAAATATTTCACAAAAGGAGTTGAGAAAAATCTTAGCTAGCGAATAAAGATGATCGATGGAACTTACTTGTATGGATCTCTACTGAGTTACCTACTCATCTTGGGTCTTAATGATTCGAGTAACGACGCCGAGAGCAATAGTCCTACCCAATGATCTCAGAAACACACGTCCCAGGGCTCGACAGTTGCTGTACTCTTCCACGCACACACACCCGCCTTGCAAAACCACCTGCCGCGAGTGTTTGATGATGAAATATGGCGCAGAATTCCGATTAAGAAGTGATTAATTGCAGTGACTAACCTCAACTTCCGCGTTCTGCTTGGCCAATAAAACTCTTGGGGACTTCTTTGTTGTCTTCCCAGTCTTTGGATCGAGCAAAGACAGTATCTTTGTGACTTTCACAGCCTCTTTCACATGGTGCAGGTGAAATTCTAACTGCAGATAGGGATGGTGATGTTCCGTCAATGACAGCAGAGCAGAATAGGGGCAAATTATTATATAAACACAACCTGAGAACCGATCACAATTGGGGTTGGAGTATCCAGGACAAGGATCTTCAGTTCCAACCGGTCAGCAACTTTAACTGGATAATCAGGGTGGCAAATCACGCCCCCAGCTGACACTTGATTGCCCTCGATCCCTTGCAAAGTCACTGTGACATTGTCTCCAGCTCGTGCAACGTTACACTGCTTAGAGTCTCGTTCCAATGTACGGACTGTTGATGCTACTCTTGAGGGCATAACTAATACCTGGACCAAAAATATATGTTACCTACGATATGTCGCATTTTTCTCGCAAGGATAAATAAGTCAAGAAGTGATGATAGGGACTCTTGCTCACTTCGTGGAACTGGTAGAACTTGAAAAATGATAGATATTCCAACAAAATTTGCACCAAGTTAAAAATCCAATCGAGCCATAGGGGTTCTAAAGGATTCACCATGTTAAAACACACACACATTGATATATACATGTATATCCCACCTAACATGATTAATCTAGACAGAGCCTTCTAAAGAAATAACACAAGATTCAAAATGAATTTTAATTACCACACTACTATTTAAACTTGAAATTCAACCGTATACAATTAATTACATTCACTCAAACCCTAACTACAAATCTAATAATCTCTATATATCATTAGTTATCACATAATATTTATTATATAAATGTATATAAGTTTGTTTGCAACAAACAAATTCAAAAATCTCAAGTAATATAGATACAAACCAATATGATTACAAAGAATCTTACGGAAAGTTTGTTGTTGTTGCTTTCAAGTTCAATACACCCAGGAAACAGTGCACCAAAAAAAAAGATTGTAAGCAATGTACATTGAGTGATAAAATGGTACCTTAGATCCTGTCCGGATAGCTCCACTTTCCAATTTCCCACACATGGACACTTGACCCTGTGCTTGTGACTTGACAACATCACATATAGGCAATAGCAACGGCCTAGTGTAATCCCTTGATGGAAGCTGTAGAGAATCTATTGCATCCAGCAAATTAGGTCCTTTAAACCTGAAAACCAAGAAATCTCACATGGACTCAATGCAGCACAAGATAGAAAAGAAAAGCCATAGAACCACCGAGATCATCAAGAATTTGTCCATGGTTCCTCTCATTTACAATCATCCAAACATGGATCCAAACTTAAGTATTTCCTCAATCTACATAATGGAGATCAACCTAATTCTGAGTCAACACAAGATTAGCAAGAATCAACAGAAAACATCTTGTAGATCGCATACCATATGCCGAGTAAAACAACAGGAGCGTGTTTTGATTTTTGAGGGTGTATAGTGATGGAACTTAAAAGTAAAATGATAAATTAGCCTGGTAGAGAGAGAGAGAGAGAGGACATGGTAGATACAAGCAACTAACCAGGACAACCGTGCATCATTAGCATTTGATGTTAAGTTTTGGTTTTCCATTGCACTAGCTGGAATCCATGAAATGGAAGAATCTTTAAAGCCACAAGAGCGAAGAAATGTTCCGAGCTTTTGTTTGACTAAATCAAACCTTTCCTTGGCGTATTCCACCATATCCATTTTATTGACAACAACAATAATCTGATCAACTCCAAAGCTTCGGATCAATTGAGCATGCTCCCTTGTTTGCCCTCCAGAAGCATCTATGCCTGCTTCAAATGAACCAATGGAAGCATCAACCACCAAAATTGCAGCATCTGCTTGGGTTGCTCCAGAAATCATGTTTGGAACAAAATCCCTATGTCCGGGGGAGTCAAGCAGCACGACATGATATCTTCTAGAGGTGAAAAAGGCAACACCCACTGTCATCGTTATACCCCTTTCCCTTTCTTCGACACTTTCATCCAAAGCCCATGCATAAGCAAAAGATCCTTTTCCCTGATCAAACAGAAAGGGGCATATGTTTCCAGCAATACAATTACAAAGATAGGAAATAATAACAAAGATACATGATAGCACTATTACCTTCTGCTTGGCTTCTTTTTCGTATTTGTGCATCTCTTTCTGAGAAATTTGTCCCAAAAGATGCAGCAGCCTTCCAGAAAGTGTTGATTTCCCAGAATCAACATGGCCAACCTAAGCATATGGGAACATCTATATTATGAGCATCTAAATACAGCACTTTTGTGGGCATACACTCACAACATTGAGAATAACTTACAATTGCCAGATTAAGTTGACTCAAACTACCCTCTGTTTCACTAGGAATCATCCAATTCTCAGGAATATAATCAGATATTGAAGCTGTTTTTTCCTTGCTGAAATTTTCTGATTTTCTTGGTTTGGATCCTATAGAGTCAGTTTTTACGTTTCCGTAAGAATTTTGAGATTTGCTCCCACTGCCTGAAGCGGAACTATTTGCATCTGCTCCATTATATCTTTCATGTGGTGCTGATGGCAAAGAGGACCCTGGCCCTTTACCTGCTGGCTCTGATTGAATGTGAATAATTGACTCTCTTCCACTTGTAATATTACCTATTGTAAGAAATTTCAGAATACGCTAAAACTAAAAGTAAAATATATTTATTTCACTAAATGATCAAACACAATCAAGAAGCATGAATCAACTGACGTATCCGTAAATGTTATGCTTACAAATTGAAGAACTTCAAATGAATAATCGTAAGCACTTTATTAAAACTATGGTCTAAGTGTGACATAAAGAGCAAAAATTAATTCATTTATAGATTTACATCGAGTAAGCATGTGGGCTGTAATGCATTTCAATTACCAGGCCCTCTATATTTTATTCCATCTAAATTCTCAGTTGAGGGTGTTCACCAGTGAGGCAGAGTTGCACCTCTACAGGCAATGAGCAGTTCATACAATTCAAAAGGTTACACCTTTTATATTACTATCAAGTGTGTAAAGAAAAACATTTTCCAGAAGTGTACAAGTACAACTACTTTTTTTGTTAAAGGAAGTCACCCAAATTTATAAATTACTACTACATATAGGAAACTTTGTTGCGGTTTCCTCATATTGATTTTGATTTGAGCATCAAGGGACAAGTTGTTCAACAAATATTTACAAACAATAACATTGTTTCTTGATTCAAAAAAAATGGTATGGAATTGAAGGTAACTAAACAGCAGCAACTAAACTAGTTAAAAATCAGCCCACCTCTATCTTGCAAGCTCAGCCAACAGAAAAAAACAAAACTTATTGTCATAATTTCTTTCAAGACTATTTAACTATTTTTAGGGTAGGAATTAGGATGTTTTAAAATAGTGGTGATTACTTTTGTGATTTAGTATAATATCCGTTAGTCATTAATCTTTATATTTAAATTGTTTATTTTCTGTAATACTTTATTGTTGTAATTATTCCCGGGAAATACAGCATCTTTTTATTGGTTTCCATGGAAACATACAAGCACTCCCTATTCCCCGCAGATTTGATAAATGCAGTGACAAAGATGTTTGGGGTCGCCATGTAACAACACAGAAAGAAAATGCTCCAGATAACTTTATGATCTTCCTTGACACAATAATATAACAGCTCTTGTTTTTCTTAGGTCTAATTAGTGACTACTGAAATTATGCTTGCTCAAAGATAAGGAGAATCCATGCACTCTAGAGTCCAGACTGTTACCGGCATACCTTTGGATTTCAACTTCCCGGATTGCAATCCACTTGATACCAAATCATCTGGAGAGGGGTCATCGAACTTGAAAGGGACTGTCAATAACATGGTTAGTGTTAAACACAAGATCAACAAGATAACCCATCATAGACTTAACTACAAAAAGAACATAATTGTATAGTGCAGAGTACTTCATTGGATCTAATACAATTAAGGCATCAAGGATATAATATTCCATTTGATCTAGCGCACATATGGTTTTCTACTGATCAATAACCAGATTTGCAATCTGTTCGAACCTATGGTACCCTTATGATTACTTTGAGAGCTAAAAGCACTATTGAATTCTTGAAAAGTGCCATGGAAGTTTCCATGTTTGGGGAAGTTAAGTTCATCTTTGGAAGATTTATCATTCTGGGCTTCAAAGAGTACACATTTTTTGGCCATATGTTGCGGCAACGATGCAAAAAGAGACTTGGCCATCACAGATACTCCAGAATTTTTGCATGTGCCGCCCACTGCATGGAAAGGATCTATCTATGAAGAATTTGGTAAAATAATCAGACAAAGAAAATGAAAACAGGTGTGAGGGCCAATAGTAAAAACAAAATGCCACCTAAGTGATCAAACAAAACAAAGTGGTAATCTCTGATAGAAGATCAAACAATGTTTAGTGATTCCACAAAAAGGCGTGGAACAAGCGAAGTGATGATGATAAAATAGAGAACATTCTGAGAATGCAGCACGCTTCACTTATCTCATTAAAATGAATAACAGCAAGAAATATAGAACAATAAAGGGAAATATATAGATTGCAGTTGTACCTGCGGCTGAACTGCTTTGACTGTTAACCTTGATCAAAGGATTCCGCAAAACTCCACATATGTCACATGCAGACATGCTATCTTCATTATCATAGGTACAAATTGGGCAGCGCCAGATCCCTGTTCTTTTAAGTTCTTGCCTGGTTGTTGGCTGAGGCACTGCTCCTGTTACAGGAAACCAATCTATTAGTGAGTTGGATTTACTAGCCACTAAGTTTGATACTCGCCAATGAAAACAACAAAGAAAGTCCTAGAGTGTTCATTCAGAACATCTCATATTGCAAAATGTAAAGCAAATAGAATATCTAATTATAAACTGTGAAATATTTGTGATATATGAAACTGAAACATTTCTTGAACACTAAGACAAAGAAACCCCGAGTATTGGACTCCGGAGTATATTTCCAGCATCGAGACAGATGATCGCCTAATGCTGATTGTAATTTGGAGGGTATGGTAACTCCTGTGTTCCTTTTATAGACAGTGATATTCCATAGTTGGTATGACCATCCTCTCTAGCCTACTGCAGATGGATACTCCAAAATTGCCATGTAGTTTCTCCTAGGACAAATAATATGCTAATACATTTTAAATTTCAATTTCACAAGTGCCATCATTCCAGCCTCGTGCAGACAGATAGTCCACAGTTTCCTCATAGTTAATACTAAGGTAATATGTTTATATTCACAAGGAAAATACATATGCTTTTTACTTCTACTCTTCAATCTACCACATCTGTTCTGGTGAATTTTCTGGCAATAAACATTTTGCAGCACCCCAAATGATTCTAGGTCCAACAAGAATTTTTTATATAATGTGAAATTTCCATGTAGATATCAATATTAACAGAATACATAGATTAATTCTAAGACTGAGGGAAAAGTTCATGTGAGAGACAGAACTTTTGGAAGCTGGTAACTAAAGAATTTAAGTCACAAATTACTACAGAAGTTATATCCTGTTTCTCCATCATAATCTTCTTATATTTCACACAAAATTCAGAAGCCTGGTAACTAAAGAATTTAAGTCACAAACACAGTAGAAATTCAAACGGGTAAATTCATATTGCTTTTTGCAAAAACTTGCCCAAAAATTAACAGATACATGACAAAACAGAGCGGTGTAAAAAGAGAGTTATTTTCAGCTAAAATGGCAGCACAATGGATAAGCATAGGCAGGTTAAAATCACCATTCACTTCCACTTCATAATCACCATCAAAATCATCAGCATAATCATAGTCATAATCATCATATTCATCATCATAGTCCAATCCAGAAAATCCCTTCCGAGGCATGTTCCCAACTTCCTGTCACGCCAAGAAGAAACGCAACCAAACATTACAGAGTACAGCACAAAGAAATCTGAAAACGATCCGGAAGAAGGTAAACAACACAACAAGGTACCTCTTTTCGAACTGAAATGCGAATAACCCCCGGCAATGCTCCCAATCTTTCGATTCAACAATTGGGAGCTACTCGATTCTCCAAGGCATCCGCAGGTATTTCGCTTTTGTAGTCAACTCGGGCAACTCATTATCCCAAAACACGCACAAGCATGCCTGCGATGCAGCTGCTCGATTCTGCTGCTGCTCACTTTCTTGGCAGTAGGAAATAAAAGGTGATAATAATATCAAAGGGGACGGAGAAAAATCGAATCGAGGTATTAGAAGGATTCTCTCGTTTCTTCTTCACGGCATTCTCATTTTATTCAGTGCCAAGAAAAGAATCCGAATTGTTGGGGATGGGAACCATTAAGATGGATTTATCCACGGCTCGCGTTGCCTCGGATCAGCATGTCTTTCGCGCTCACTCCCTCTCTCACCTACGGCCTCGCGGGCGACCTCTCCGTTTCTTGTCCGCCGCTCGCTGTGTCGGTCTCTCTGTCTTCTTCGTCCTCGCGGTTCGTCTATTCATTTACTCTGAAACGAAATGAAATCGGGTATAGGGTTACGGGAAAACGGGTTGGAAGTGCGGGTATGGATCTTGGTATCCAATCATGGGTTTGGGTTCATGGATATTTGGGATCAAAATGTGGACTTGGACTTGCTTAGCATAATAAAATTGCATAGGCTCTCTTCAATGGGTTTATTTGTTTTAACATAAAACCAACTAATTCTTCACTTTTTAATTAACATATTTTTTAAGTTTTGTCAATCTCATTATAACCATTGATATTTTAAATTAAAACATATTTAATAAATACAAATTATTCACTCAAAATCTCTTCATTTCTATCTCTAAAAAAATAAATATTTTTTATTAAATTTAAAATTTCACATATTTTATAAAATTATCTTATTATTTTATATTAATTATAAACAAATAAATATATTTTATATCAAAAATTATTCCCTAGAATTGATATTCATATTGCATATATTTTTTATTGCGATATAATATTTAATATATTTTAATTTTTTAAATTATATATATTAAAACTATTTGAAAAATTTCAATATTATTACTTATATAAAAAAATAATGTCACAATTTATTATTTTAAATTAATTAATCATCATTATCTTAAATAACGTGCCAGTAGTTAAAAATTTGGATTGAAATCATTGTAGGGTGTGATATAGATAAGTATTAATATAATGTTTTGAATGTAAAATTGATTTTTAATATAATATAAAAAACAATAATAAATAATTGATTTGATGTTTTTATAGAAAAATTTTTAAATAGTAAAATCTAAGGTTTTGTTCTTTCTATTATTTTTTCGCTGCAAACATGAATTTTGGATTTTACATTTTACTTTAAATAATTATTTGAAAATTTTTCAAATTGATAATGATAGTCCTGGAGAGGTAGCAGAGTGTTGTACTCGTAGGTTTATGCTACTTATGATTATAGATAGCATATTTCCCTCTTGAAATGATAGTAAAATTAAACTAACTTACTTATCATATATACGGACATTTGACTTCTCTAAGAAGTATAGCTGGTGCCGCGTTTGTTTTACATACTTATATTATAATCTTTGTTCGGCTATTATTGGACAAGATAAAATGAATCTTAGTGGGTCAGTCACATTATTGCAGGTATAATATGTTAAAAAGAAAATTTGTTATGACTATATGTTTAAACATATTATTATAACATGTTAAGTATTTTATTCACGATAAACTTTTTTATTTCAAGTTTGGACATGGTCTAGACTATACATGCTAGCTTCTCAAATTAAATCCGTGAAATCTATTGTTCTTGACCCTTAGATACTTCCTAATGGTCTAGTAGTACCGGATGCTCCTTATGAAGTTAAGTATGTAAATTATTTATATTTTATTAGTATAATCATTATATTGAAAATTTATTATTTATAGTTCTTAATATAATGTATAATATCCATTTGTTTTGTAGATGGAGTCGGGGTAAACATGATTTTACACTAACCGTGCATAATTATGTATCTGTTATTCGGGATATTTTTTATCATGAAGGAGATGGACAAGTACTTTTATTAATAGTGCAAACCTTTTTGTGGTAGAATCATTTTAATCAATTTATCTATGTAATGTTATATTTATTTTCTATACAGTTTAATTAGTGGTCTTATGAACCTAACTTTTACAATTCTTTACCGCATTTTTGTCTTTGAACCTTGTTTCGGTACAAAGGACCTTTATTTTACGAACATTGCGTCGAGTATCTTCACTTAGATAAGGTACTTCGGCAGTTAGGTTTAATTGCGTTCACGAACTGGCTATCCACCTGGCTACCATCTTACAATCATTTTGTGATAAATTTCTTCCTTATTTAATGCAATATAATTATAGAATTTTGAAGAAATTATATATATATATATATATGTATTTGTGCATGTTAATCAATTGAGGCATTGCATAGAGATTTGAGACATCAGTCTAGTACAAAACATTATTGATGTTTCACAAGATCTAGCAAATTCGACATTTGAGTCATCTGAAACTATATTCATAAATGATGATCAAGTCCACCTAACTTCAGATCCTTATATTCCCAGTAATTATATTCACGCATATGTGACTGGTAAGGTAATGGCGTGTACAAAAGCAGTAGTACACCTTATGAAGGTAATATGGCTAATTTTGATCATTCATAACCATCACCACTTTTGGAATGTCACCGTGTACAATCTCAATGACGTGTACTTGATAATTCATCTATTGAATGTAATATTTTTGAATCTCCATGTTCTCAAATTCAACAAGTACTTCGTAAAAGCATTCGTGAAAGTTACCCGCCAAATTGTGGTACCGGAGGCCACAAAGGACATTGACATGAATGTAAATATTTCTGCATGTTTGTGTGTGTTGATTTGTAGGTGAATGTGTTATATGAGTTATCACAAGAAAAATCTGAGATTCAACAGATCCGAATTAGATATTTAATCACGCGGAAATCCGAGCCTTGCGTTGCACTTGATCTCCTTGAAGCAAATTCGGCCCGCCACATATTGCCTCCCAGGATAGAACGAACGATCGGAATATATCTAATTCCGCGAACCGAATTAGGAAACCAAAGAAAATTGAAAGGAACAGAAGAGTTAATTTTTTACAGAGCAAATCAGAGGTTTTTTAGATGAGGAGAATTTATTTTTTTTTGAACGAGTTAAAACTGAAAAACTAATCTATTTCATGTGAGGGTTTTTAGTTTTATATTTAAATAAAAAAAGAAATTAGATTTTCAAATTCACTAAATACGCAACTTTCTGATTCCGATTATTTGAATTTTAATTAGTCAAATAAATAAAATTCAAATAATAGAAAATTATATTAATTGAACTGGGCTCGGCCCACGAGCCCAAGGCCTTATATTGACATATAATATAATTGAGTTAGATTAAGCCCAAACCACTCTAGCCTACTCATGGTCCAAATCCAATCCCTCATTGATCCATTTACATAAGTTTGGCATCCATGACAATATATGGAAGGTTAGAGTTATTTTGTGTTTCCAATCTGGGACAAAGTCCCTTCATCTTCCTCTTTCACATGTTGCTCTTTTGATACGTGACTAACACTATCAAATGTAAATACATTTGCCTGATATTCATATTCATTTACCATCACTGCCATCTTTTTTCGGTTTTTCTGCTCCGAGTCAAGATACTTTGTGTGTGGCCATGGGGACTATTCATAACTAGAGTCTTGCTTATCTCGAGCATCATGAAGTCGTTTAATGAAAAAAAAAACAACAACTCGATCATACGTCAATTGTACAAGATAGTGAGAAGTAGTCGTTGAGCCCCTTTCAATACCCCATTGATCCATTCAGACAAAATGGTTGTTAATATACCATGTCGTCACCCTTCATCGTAGGCAAGTGTCCATTTACTCTTCTCAATTTCCATTAGTCAATCATAAGTTGTTGGCTTCACAAGCTGGATAACCGCTAATGTTTCGTTAAACTCTAACAGATCAATGGATGCTCCCGTCTTTCAACACATATATTTCAATCTTACATATTTAATTTTTTGGTTGAAGTTAAAACATATATGCCGAAGGCAAAATCGATGCGGACCACTAGGTGGGTGAAATGCAAGAATACAATCAATTGGATTCGTGATTCCAACATGTCTATATGAAATTAGATATGTATGATATCTGTCCTGCACAATATACCTGCATACACAATAATCAAATAAATATCATTACTAGAATTTTCAAAGTATATATAATTTACAACTTAAATAAATTAAATTATCTTGCTTACTAGCTGGAGAAACCACATCCAAAATTCAGTATTCTTTGCATCAACAATGGCAAAGGCTAATGACAACACATGACGGTTGGAATCTATAGTAGCGGCAATCAACATAACATACTTGTATTTTTCATATAAATAAGTCTCATCCACGCTAATCACATTCCGACAATGACAGTATGCCTCAATACAAGGTCCGAATGCCCAAAACACATATTGTAATGTATATTTCTATTGATGTGCTGCTTCTAGATGAGCCCACTCAACAATTTTATTCGGTATGTACTTTTGAAGTGTCTTCATATAAGTTGGAAGTTTTTGTACCAAACTCTCTCATGTCCCGTAAACATGCTCAGTTGCACGTTCTAATCCATAACATGCATTTGAATGATATATCAAAACTATATTCTATTTTCACTGCTCTTTTCACATTTGTTGGCTCATATGCCGGATTTCTACTAACAAATCCATTCAACAAATTCGCTATCATGTTAACAACCAAGTTGTTATGCTTCAACAACGCATCATCTGGAATACACGTCTGATCAGGCATCACCATAACAAGTTGCCAACGTTCCAAGTGTGGCTTATATGATGCAGTCACACCTCACTCACAACAATTTTTATCATAATGCTTACACTTTACCCTAAAAACTGTACGGGTGCTCTTTGTCACTGTATATTCTCTCCCGACCATTCGCACCGAGTAATCTTTTATAGCCATCTGCATTTGCTTTTTTTCACTGAATGTCACCCCATAAATCAGAATAACATTATTTTTTGTGTACATATTCCATTGCAACTAGGAGTATTGTATGTATCTTGTATAAACTCCCCTCTAGGAAAATTCTAAAAAACTTCAGTCGATGGATGTTCAATCTCACCCCCTGAGTGGTATGGTATGTGTTTCGTGACATCTCGATGACCCTAGATTTCATCAATTTTTTTCCCCCCTACTATTTCATCATCTAATTTTGACTGTGATTCTGGCTCACTACATTCATCTTGACCTATTCTCTCACAATCAGCGTCTAATATTAGTAAATCATCACTTAAAGGACCCTATATTATGTTGTAATACACACTAGGAGCATCAACAATTGCATTTTCATAATTTCGTTGAAATTCAACAAATAATTCCAAACACTTGTAATCATTGGTTGAATTCAAGAAATGCTCGAGATTAACCGCAATGATGATAATCAACCTCGATTTCTGAATACCCTGGTCATGCGTCCAACTATATGGCATTTTCAAAATAATTGAATACTAACGTCGATCTTTTCCGGTCACATAAAAAATAATACTTTCTAAATCTTCAAATATACTATTACCTCCGATAAAAATCATATATTTGGGATCACAGTCATGTTCTATTATACCAAAATTGCGAATAATATTTTCATCCCAATATAATAAAATATTAATATTGATATTGACACCAGACATCTGTTCAAAAACTAATAATAATAAAATATTAATGCTACAAAAAATAAACAAACACATAATATTATTTCAAAATAAAGAAATTATAAATTTCATATTAAAATTATCAATATCAAAATAAATAAATATAAAATAGTAAAATACAAATATAAATATATCGCATATAATATTGTATAAATATATGGAAATTCTTCTAACATTTTACAAAACTAACAAAATATTCTAAGGGTGTGTTTGTTTGGGGGTTTGGATTTTGGATTGAGATTTGAATAGTAAAAATTTTGAATTTGAATAGTTGTATGATGTGATATAAATAGGGTTTGATGTGATGTTTTGAATGTAAAATTGATTTTTAGTATAATATAAAAAATAAAAATAGGTGTTTGATTTGATATTTTTGGGGGAAAAAAATTGGATGAATAGTAGAAATCCTCCAAAATCCTTCAAACAAACACACCCTAAATCTATCAAAAAAATTTATTTTAATAATACATAAAATTTACATTAATAAATATTCAAGAAGATAAAAAAAATAAAAAGAAAAACAAAAGAAAAAAAAAAACTTACTGAGTATGATGAAGTTGTCGAGAATGAATGATTATCGTGTGAACTTTTGTGGTATGATGAATGAAGGGAAAAAATAGGTTTTTAATGTAATCAATAAAGGAATTATCAGAACCAGTAACTGTCAAAACTAAAATGAAGTTCTCAGAACTTTATAATTTTATAATCAAGGAGTTTTGAACATTATTTTTAAAAAACCGTCAATTGAAGTGTACATTTCTATTTCACTAAAAAAATAGTATATTTGTAATAAAATTTCGTTCATAAAGTTCACGTAGTAATTTTATCCCCAATTCCGTCACTAATAGCATTAGTAACAAAAAAATTGAATTTAAAAACGAAAAAACATCGTTACAAAATTAATATTTTCTTGTAGTGTTCATAAAAAGTACAAATAAAATAATAATGTTTTTATAATTTACATGAAAGTAGAGTATTTTAGTATTTGTATATAAAATACTTTTATTATATTCTCTCCATCAAAGTAAGAAGTAAATCTTTATTTTTGGCACACTATTTAAGAAATAATAGTATTTTAATTATAGTGAGTAATTAAAAGTAATTTAATGTCGTTTTTACCTTTACTAATAATATGATGTAAAATAAGAGTATTTGTGAAAAATTATAAGATATTTAATAAAATATTTATTTTTTAATTGTGCGTCCCAAAATAAAAATATGTATATTTTTAGGTGGACCGAGTATTAAATAATTTTAAATGGTAAATATGAAAATGATAGAAAAGAAAGTTTGAATTGCCAGGAGAGGAATATAATTCAAATTAAAATACTAAAAAAAACCCTATCCACGTAACTAACACTCCATATTCTGCAGAGTTGGGTGAGTACTTGCTTCAAAGCGTAGAGTACAAACTCAAAATGTGGAGTTGCGAGAATCACACACGACACTCGTTAACGGCGGTGCCCAAACCCACGTGGAAATTGGAATGTTGATGAACAACATCTCTGCCACTGCCTCTGATTCCCCGCCTGCCTTATCCTGATCTCCAATCCAGAAACCTCCCCCGTCGACGTATCCATGGCGACGTTAGGAGTAGTATTCCCTCGCATCATCTGCCCACACAATTCCAGACCGAGATCCACCACTACATCAATGGCGGCAAACGCGAATTCCCATTCTCAATTGAGGAAGGAAGAAATAGTGATCGTCGGAGCAGGAATCGCTGGCCTATCCACTGCACTCGCCCTTCGCAGGTCTCGACCAACTAATCCTTCTTCCATCCCCAAAATAATTTCATATTATCGCAAGTTCGCAACTAATCTCCGCATTTTATTATCCTGTTCGTTTTCAGGGAAGGAATCGAATCGCTGGTGGTCGAGCAGGCCGATTCGCTCAGAGCCGAGGGGACTTCGCTTACGCTTTTCAAAAATGGATGGAAAGTTTTGGATTCCATTGGAGTCGGGGCTCTACTCAGAGATCAATTCCTTCGTATTCAAGGGTAAATTGCTTCTACTTTTGTATCGATTGACAGTAGAAACAGAATTGGGCAAAAACTTAGGGTTTAGCTCCAATTTGAAATCCATTGAGTGAACGAGATGCAGCTAAACATTCGAGAAACGGAAACAAAAACCGAATTAGGTTTGATATTTTTGTGGTGAAATAGTTGCATTACGTGAACACTTAGGTAAATGAACTTAAGAAGTTGTTTTTGGAATCGAAATGATCGAATTCATGTAGAGAATGGTTTGATCAGCTGTGCAGGATGGTTGTGAAATCGAATGACGGCCGAGAATTACGCACATTTAATTTCAAAGACCACGACGAAAGGTAAAAGGAAAAAAACTTCGAAGTTCGGGAGAAAATTGCAAAAAATATTTCACATGTATATTTCATTATCATTTTTATCATGTATCTATTTCGCTGACAAAATATATATCCTACATGTTTGCAAAAGTCTTAATTTTTGTCCTTTTGCCGTGCGTGACGTTCACACCACGCGTAGCTAAATGATAGAAGTAAAAACTTTTGTTAACATGTAGGATATATTCTGAAAGCGAGATAAATATATCACAAAAGTAATAATGGGGTATACGCGTGAGATATTTTTTTCAATTTTCCCACCATTGATGCTTGCATTGACATGTTTGTCATCCGGATGTTGCAGTCAGGAGGTGCGTCCCGTGGAAAGGAGGATTCTATTGGAGACTCTTGCGAACAAACTACCTCAAAATGCAATTTCCTTTTCATCCAAGCTCAAGAGCATCGAACGAAGCGAATATAATCGCTCACTACTTACATTCGAGGATGATTCTCGGATATCAGCCGAGGTACACTAGCTACTTATCTACGTTGATGCTTTCTCCTTTGAATTGATTCTCTCGCGCTAATGTGGTTGAATTGGTTTTAGAGTTTTTTAATAGTTCGTACTCGCGAAATTTGCTTTGAGTATGATCCGTGTGGTTCAGATTGTCATTGCTTGTGATGGGATACGGTCTCCCGTCGCCAAATGGATGGGCTTCCCGGATCCCAAATATGTCGGACAATATGCTATCCGTGGACTCGCAGTTTACCCTGACGGGCAACCTTTGGAGCCTAAAGTTACTTACGTATACGGGAGAGGTGTCCGTGCCGGTTATGTGCCGGTTTCCCCTACCAAAGTGTATTGGTTTGTTTGTTTCAACAAACCATCACCAGGTTCATTTCTATGCCGGTTATTTTGCATTTTGAATATATTGTTATTATAAATTGTTTATGAGATGAAATATACTTCCTTCGTCAGGCTCTAAGAATTTCATTTACCTTTTGTGTCATTGTATTTAATGTTAAAAATATCTTTATATTTGTATAATTTTTTGCACAAATGTCATTGTAATTAGTATTATAAGACATTAATAGAAGTATTTTTATCATTTTTTCTTAATTTGTATTACGTTTTCATATAAAAATTAATATTCAAAGATCAACACGCAAAAAGTAAATGAGACCCTTAGAGCCGGAAGGATGTAGTAGTTAATTTACAACTCTTTGTGTCCACAAAAAATATATCCATGTAAGCTTAACATAGATTTTAGAAAGTATAATATTATATTGGTTGATTGTAACTTACATAACATAGAATATTTTGGAAAATGTACGAAATTAGAGAAAAATTTAAATTGGATGTGTAACTGATAGTAACAAATTTGTAAATAAGTATACTATTGAAGAGTATAAATTAGGGAATGCATACGATTTTTTATTTTTATTTTTTTGGCTTTTGCTAGACATACAAATAAGGAAAACAGAGGTACATGTGGTGGACAAAATATGTATCAAATAAATTGTTAAAAGAAAAAAAAAAATAAAAAAAAATTGAACTGGTTTGAACTTGTGTCAAAAACATGTTTAAGTCGAGCTCGAACAATATGTAGCTCGTCTTGTATAACAGTTCTAGCTCTGATTATTTAACAGTGTAACAGAGCATGCGCATATCATTGTTCTAACAATTTAACCTCAGGCCCTAAAATCACAAGCCCGTCCATATTAAGACAAGAAGCCGAGGAATTGACTAAAGATTGGCCTTCCGAGCTTGTAAGCATCATAGAGTCCACTCCGGACGATGCAATCATAAGAACCCCTCTAATGGACCGATGGTTGTGGCCGGGGATTGTCCCACCGGCCTCCACCGGACAAGTGGTTGTCGTAGGTGACGCATGGCACCCAATGACACCAAATCTCGGACAAGGTGCATGTTGTGCGCTTGAGGATGCCGTGATCTTGGCAAAGAATCTAGCACAAGCACTAAAGCTTGGGTCGATGAGCGTGGAGGATGCTTTCCGATTGTATGAAAGGGAAAGGCTACCGAGAATCTTTCCATTGACGGTACGAGCGAATCTTGTGGGTTCATTGTTGCATTTAAAGAATCCGGTTGTTTGTTATGTTCGAGATAATATTGTTGTGTCCAAACTGGTCGAGCTCGGCCCTATGTTGGAACATACGAATTTTGATTTCGAACCTATCCAGACCATGGAATGAATGAACGAACAATTGGCCGTTGTTGATATTCCGTTCATTTTGTATGTATTTATTTTTTTCTGATAGATAACACGTAAAAAGTGTAGTGACTAAAATATCTGTAAGAGCACAATTGAGATATTGTGAAATGAGATAGTTGTATTTTTATGAGATTATATTGATTGTTTATGATCCAAAATAATGAATAGATACATTGACTTATTGATAGTAGAAGATGGAAAATATATATATTTATAAGAAGAGTTTTGTACTTCAAATTAAATAGTTAAATAAACACCATTCAAAATGTAGATGTAAGTATGATCTATAAATAAGAAATATTTGTCATGCTAATCATACAAAGTTCAATGGCTATGAGAACAAAGCATATATATAATAAAATTACAAGCAATATATTATTATCATGCCTCCTAAATACTATGGGTATGTTTACTAAGTTGAATTATAAGGAATTGTTTAACCTTTATATGTCTTAAATATATATATATATATATATATAGATATTTAAGGAAATAAAGTGACTATCAAGTTGGCTCCAAACCTGGCGGGTTCAAGGCTGAGGCATATTTAGAATATGACTATCAGGGGCAAAGTGAATTTTGGGACTATGAATTTTTGGCGGGGAGGTTTTGAGCCTCCAAAACCCATCTCCAACCCACCCACCCTAGATACTATGCAAAGTACCGGGAGACAATAATCAACTATGTAATGCTACTCTTTGATGCCACGAGTGTAGCCTTTGCTCACTCGAAACCATATTTATACATTTGACCATTTACAAAAATTATTATGGTATCAAAGCCATAATACCAATAGTATTGGGTATTGATCCTGTTTAGAATTTCAATATAACATTATCTCGGGGGACGAGGAAGATCGTTCATGTTGTTGTCCAGCATAGGAAAAATTGTGGGACTCGCTCTTGGAGATATTATAAGGGTAAAAGGCTGTTGAAAGTAGATGGTATTTGTTTTTGAGTTTTGGTTGATGTTGTTTGGACAGTGATGAACAAACCTGGCCCAATTTGTCTCGAGTCCAATCAACAAGGAAATGGCCCAAATTAATCAATCCAATGAAGACCTAAAAGAATTGATCGAAAAAGTTCATTGGTCCCCCAATCCATGTGTGAGAATAACAAAAATTAATTGTAACAAACTTTCTGGAGCTAGGGAGAGATAGTGAGGGAAAATATTTCATTCTTGTTGAATTTGTTACAATGAATATAGTCATGTTTGGATATTGTGTTTTATATATAATATAGAGTGAAGTAAGATAGATCTGGGAGAGAATATAGAAAAGAATCTAAATGTAATTTCTTTAAGGAAGAATGTGATAGTTTGTAGGCTCTTTGGTAGAAAGGGTTCATTGAGTCGGTGGTGATGAGGAGGATAGATTAGGAGTGAGATATCTTCAAGAAATAGTGAGATAGATTTCTTGAGAGTTGTGACCCTAATTGTATCCATAAAATCTCATGTTTCGACTGCTTTGATGGTGAAATTCGTCTGGGTTGGAACCCCCGACGTAGGTCCTTGATGACTGAACTTAGTTATCAATTATTTTATATTTTATGTTATCATTGTCACCGGAGTGCATTCGCAATCTGATCATCCAGCAAACAACCGGTTCTATCGTGGAAGCTATCTCTGTTGCCGTTGTGCGTGTTCTTGATGGTGAGATATTGTTGTTGTTTGGTTTGGAGCAAATTTGGGGCCACCAAAGGCTAAGCCACTTAAAATAAGTAGGTTTTAAGTTGAAACTCCGATATTTTCTTAACATTCTTTCCAATTCAGTGATCTAAACAGTAACACAAATAAAGAAAAATGTATGCAGAACAAACAAATAAAGAAAAATGTATAAAGAACAACATGATGTTTCTCGAATAAGCAAATACTAGCAGGAAGGAAATCCAATAGTTCTTCCCAATTTCACTTCTGCTAATGCAAGACAGAGTATTCTAAACATTATATATATTATTCAACAAAAATGGTTGGTTCAAACTATAAATACTTCTTTGAACAAAACGGAAATCGAATTCAAAGGCAATTATAATTCGTATCAAATTCAGTCAAATCCTTCCCTATCACTGAGTCAGATCGTAAAAGAGCAATCGGATTTGCACAAATTCCACAGAAAATTCAAGAAACTTTCATCAAGTAGAAAGGAATTTGGACGGAATTAGTAAGTACAGTTACCTTGATGGTGATTCAGGTAGCGCAATTCGCGGCTTCTGCGGGGGTCTTGGCGGTGATGGAGAGAGCGTGCAAACCGGACTGGAGCTCGCCGGATAGGAGTTCGTAAACCATACGGTGTCGCCTCACAAGGTTCAGACCTTCGAATTTTGGAGACACGATCTTAACATTGAAATGCGTCTCATTAGCAACGCCGCCTTCCATGGCTCTGACGGCGGCGTGACCGGCGTGCTGGTAGGAGACGTCCTCGACCTCTAAAACGGTGGCTTGCAACGCCGTTTGGAGCTGCGTCTGGATTCGATTAGCTCTTGAACATAGCGTTCGCGTTGCCATTGATTCCACCCGACGACTGAATCAATTTTAACCTAATTTTTGGGGATGTATAGAAGTGCGTGGTGTTAAAAAAAAATAAATAAATAAAATAATAATAATAATAATAATAATACTTGGGGGTGAATAATAATAATAATAAAAAAAAAAAAAATCACAAATTTTTGTTCATATCTTTTTATTTTTTAGAAAAGGTTTATAATTTTTTATGAAAAATATTATTTTATTTAAAAAAATATTTAATAATTATTTTAATTAAAATTCAAGATAAAATGAGTGTGTTTGATTTGAATTTCGTATGCAAATCACCACTAATTATTACTCTTTCCCAACTAAAATATTTACATTGCTTTGGATATGAGAATTGGATAAAATATCATTACTATCTATCGTAATTAAAAGTATATTAATAAAAATAATTATTACTAAGATTAAAATAATTATAATTTAATAAAAAATAAAAATTCATAAATAATAAATTTTAAAATATAATTTAAATATATAATCATATTTTTCTAAAAAAAAAAAAAAGACAGTATATGAAAAAATATAGATATTTTTTGTAGAACGAAAAAAATATCATTCTCCATATATATATATATATATTATTTTTTTCACATAAATTAAAATAAATATTAGTTAAACTAAAATTAAATCAAAACCAGAGGTGGGTGGTAGCATATATCTTAAATTTTATGTCGCATATTTGTATACTGCAACAAAATTTTCGGTATAGCATTGTATATGAAAAATTTGTTATAACAAATATATACGGTACTAACAAATTATTACTTCCGCTAATAATTTTTTCATTTACTTCTGACATATAAATTTAAGTATATTAATATTTTATTGTATAGTACAAATGATGTATGAAATGAAAATTTTTACCCATAATATGATGATAAAGTATAAATATTTATATAAGGGAAAAAAAAATTAATTTTGGTCTCAATATAATCAAAATGTATCAATTTTGGTTTCAATATAAAAAAAAAACTTATCGATTTTAGTTCAAATATAAACAATTTCAATCAATTTTGGTCCTACCGTTAAAAAAAACTAACGAAAATTGCTGATGTGGACATAACGGATGTGACGTGACAGTTGACCTGGAAAGTACAAAGTCATGTACAATTATACACGGCCATGTTGTTACATGGTCGTGTATATTTCAGTGTATAATTATACATGGCTATGTTGTTACACGGCCATGTACAATTATACACGGTCATGTTGTTACATGACCATATATATTTCAGTGTATAATTATATATTATCATGTTGTTATACGGCCATGTATAATTCTACACGGCCGTTTACCTTTTTGTTTCGGTCTAAAATTTTATTTTTTTGTTATATTTTTTTTTTGAATTTAAAATAGTTGATATAGTTAAAATAGAAAAAAAAAAAAAAATCAATAATAATCATAATATAATTAAAATGTATCAATTTTAGTTCAAATATAAATATTTATTAAGTAAAAGATTTTTTTTTAAATTCTACTACTATTTAGCAAAAAAATTTATATTACAAACATTCAATTACTGTATTGAAATAATAAATTAATTTTTAATACTACTATAATATACAAAATTAAAAAATAGTTGTGTAATTTGATGTTTATAAGAGGAAATTTTTTTTATGAATAATAAAATTTTAGACAAAATCTTTTAAAAGAATATATTTTATAAATTTTTATATTTGAATTAAAATTAATAAATTTTAATTATATTATAATTACTATTGATTTTGTTCATTTTAACTATATTAATTATTTTAAATTCAAAATAATTTTTTTTTTTAAAAAAATATAACAAAAAAATAAAACTTTAAATTAAAATAGAAATGTATATGGCCGTGTATAATTTATACATGACCATGAACAACATGACTATGTATAATTTTACACTGAAATATACATAGTCAGGTAACAATATGACCGTGTATAATATACATGGTCGTGTACTTTCCAAGTCATCTGCCACGTGACTTCCGTCATGTCCACATCAGCAGTTTCCATTAATTTTTTAACGGTGGGACCAAAATTGATTGAAATTGTTTATAATGAGACCAAAATTTGATTAAAAATGTTTACATTGGGATTAAAATTGATGAGTTTTTTATATTTGGACTAAATTAATAAATTTTAATTATATTGTGACCATAATTTATTTTTTCCCTTATATAATTTTACTAAAAAAAATGATAATATTTGAATTGACATACTAAAATAAAAAATAAAAAAAAAATCAGAAGATTTTAAGTATATGGAAAAACTAATAATATTTTTCGAATATACCAAAATATTTATATACAGTACCAAAATTTTGATATTTTTTATAGTACAATATATGATATTTTGACATTTCAATTTTTTTCCTACTAATCAAAACCAAACAAACTAATACAAATAAGTATATTATCTTATTTCAATACAATTTAATTATATATTTCCTCCATCCCGACCAAATTGAGCCTCTTTTATTGCTGATACAATATTTAAAGTAATAATATTTAATTTATTAATATTAGTAAATTATGATATTATTTTATATATATAATTAATAATATTAATAATTTTAAAATAAATTAATATATTTGATAAAAAAATTAAAATATGTATTTAAATATTTAAAAAATATATTAATAAAAAATTTGAAGAATGAAAATTATTCTATAGAAAATCAAAACCCTAGTTGATGTATGATGTTATGTAATTAAGTAATTTAATTTATATTTATTAAATATGTTTTGAATTAATAAATTTGATCTCAAATAAAAAAAATCCATTGTTACAATACCAAAAAATAAAATAAAATAAAATAAATAGAAAAGAAAATGTAAATTAAAATGAAACGAATAATATATTTTTTCTAAAATAATTTACATTAATTATATTACTTAAAATATTGCCTCCACCACGTTTCGATCCATACGTGTAGTTAGTGTTATTTTATTATTTTTCAGGTGAATAATATTATTAATATTTTTAACAATAAAGTTTAATATACTCTCTCCGTCTTATATCTATATATCTGATAAAGTAGAAATAAAAATTAAAAGACTAAATTAACCTATTAGTATTAGTATTGTATAATATAAAGGTAATAATTTGTATAATATATTGTAAATTGGAAGGTATTTGTAATGTTAGGCATATAGAAAAAATTGATACTTTTGTTATGATAAATTGTTAAGGGACGGACGAAGTATATATTTATAAAATATTAAAAATATATATTTTAATATTTCAAAGACAAAACTGCACAAAACCCACATGGTTTTACAAAATTACCTTAAATCTCCATGTTTTCAAGACTCTGCACTTAATTTCCTCCATCATACTTATTTAAGCATGTTTGGCCTATACACACCCTAAATTGTCTAATAAATTTCTAATCTCCATTTCTAAATATTTAAAATTACAAAAAAGGAACATTAATAAAAATAATAATTTGTTAATATACCTATAAAATTATTTATTTTAATAGATTTAATTTACTAAACCAAACCAAATTGTACACAGCCTGACCTTACAGGCTCAGGCCCAGCCCGGACCCGGTTCATAGTTGTGCTGGGCCGACATAACCCAAAAAAATTTGGGGTGTATTTCTTTAGCTCAAAATTATCAAAATTTTGAACTTTGCTTTCCCTAAAAGAAGAGAAAAGAAATATATATATATATATACAATTTTCTCCTTCAAACATTCCATTAAATATTATTTTAATTCTAATTTAAACTATTTAAAAGATAAAAAAATATAAAATGACCATAAATAGACATGCATGCATGCTATCAAAGCAAAGCATCCCTACTCTACAAGTGATGATACGTTCCCGTCCACAAGGATAAAGATGGTCCGGTGGTATGGAGATAAACTCGTAATCGTGTGGTCATAATTCAGTCTTACTTGTCGCACATGGTTGAGTAGTATCATAATTAGAAAGAACTGTACAAACATAAATGTTACCTGCATTGCTCCGACGATGACGGTTCCAACAAAAGGCATGGAATCATGGGGAAATAATCCGGAAAAGAAGAAGAAGATAGGATCAATGTATGATATACATGATTAGAGACAATAACAGGCGCAATCCAGTGATAGAAGCTGCAGATAGATAGATAGAAAGAACTTAATCAATAAGTTCATAAATCTTGAAAGATTATTATTGAATACAAGTACGTAAGCTTGTAAAAACGATACAATAAGTTAACCGGGCACTTGGTTATGTAAAAGAACGACAGCTGGGCAAATTATTGGAAGATAAAAACTCATCAATATAGGTTTTCTCGACAATAATGAAGATCACGTATTCTCATCTTTAACATACAACATTAATGCACTATTATATCTCTAATGTAATCGAATAAACTCATATATACTCTTTATAAAATTACTCTTGACAGTCACTGACACACACAGATTTACTCTAAGTAAGTAATCCTTAATGTTACTTTCTAATAGCATTACATTTTATATCATACTCTTACAAACAAAATAATTAGGCAAAAAAACATACACATACTATTTATAGCTTTCTCCCACCAAGAACATTACGAAGATTAGTTTTTTTCAGTAAACAACCACAACCAATCAAAGAATCGCACGCACGGGTGCAAAAGTAGAACTATAAACCTCTGAACTTGTAGTCATCAAGATACCGCAATTATCTCTGACAAACACACAAGATTTGGACTCGAGGGGGAAAGAATAACCAAATAATAAGATAATTGTAAGTTGCAAGGTTTCATTCATTGATGTGAGAACCAGCAAGCCTCCCCGGATCGATCAAATAATTTCAATTTCCCCTGTTTTCTATGGCATAGATACAGAAGAGTTTCATAAGGAAAATCGACAAATTCGATGCAATGTAATGCTGCTCGCCATGGCTTAGATTATTACCTGAGAATCGCCTCTTTCTGGCAGAGCCACGTAGCGTGTTTGGAGCTTGACCAGAGTGGGGCTAGGTCAGGCATCGTTAGAAAAATCATCAGTGTCGAACCATCTATGATCTGGGTTGTAATCTGTGCTCTCGTTTCCGTCGGCCTTATCCAATAGTATATCCTCGGCAACAAAGAACCCTCCTTCTACAGGTTTGTAGTCCTTCCCCCTCCATACCACAATCTGTTCTTTCTCAAAGGAGACGAGGATGCAAGGAACCAAGTCCTGTGGAGAAGTAATAGTTTTATAGGGAGGGGCACATCAAATTCAGGCATGATCGGTAAAATATACTACGAGAGGAATGAATTAAGGGGAATTAGAACAACTGCTTTGGCAGAGAATCACAATCAATTGATATGTACACCGCACCATCTTCAGTAGCAAGAACTCATAATAATCAATGAAGAAACACAAACTTACTTCAGTCAAGAAGAAAGCATTACCCTAAGTTTGCACCCAATTTTCTTATAATCACTAATGGGAAGACCTTTGCAGTCTATCCTAACGAGCTCATCATTAAGAAAAGCATCACGAACCATAGGAACAATACTACCATAGTAGCCATTTTTACCTGCAACAGAAGCACATACATTACCAAACATTACAGCAAAATAAGTGACGTGACAAAAGAAACATAGGTTGAAGTTTTACTGAGCCTGGTCAAGACAGGCACGGACAGCCCCCTTTTTCTCATCTCCTTCGTCTCCTCCATGCTCAAGCCTTCAATAGTAGTTTTTATAAGCCTCGGGTAAACAGGTTCTTGAGGTTTCCACAACATCAGTGGAATCAAAGGCCTTTCTTTGGGCTTATAATTTCTACCTCTGTAAAGCACAAGCTGGCCTCCGCGTCTAAAGATGATCGCACCCATCGTTTTGTCCTGCAATTCAAAAGCAAAAAATGCCCAATGCCGAAGAAGATGAAATAAATAGAAACCGAAATGATAGTCAGCACAATCACAATGTGGGGAAATCTCTACAACTCCTTAAGATATTATTTATTGTTTAATTTTGAGGAAAATACCTCCAATTGAGTGCATATATTTTTCATATCAACAGTAGGCACTCCCATACACTTGATCCTGACAGCCTCGGCAAGTTTCCAGTGGTTATGAATGTCGTTCAACATGTTATGTGTTAAGCCATCCCTCCCTGCATAATGAAAACGAGAAAGATTTACACACGTGTGTGTTTGCTATGTTTGGATATCAATGGCGGAAAGATTTTGAAGCACACCTATATTTATCTGCCGCTTGGTTTTATGCCTCTGGTACCTCTCAACAAGAGCTTTTCTTTCAGCATTCGTCAATGGCTCCCCCTGAATTCGATCCCTCGCCGCTCTCCGTTTCTCCTCCAAATCGTCGTCGATTGCGGCAGAGGCCACCTTGGGGTCGACCGCAGGGGCACAGACCCCAGTCCATACCCGGTCCAGACGGCCCGGCCCGAAAGGGGAGTATTTCGGCTCCCTCAGTCCAATTGGCCGCACTTTGGCGCTGCTTTCAGTGTAGCTGAATCGGAAGTCGAATGGAAGATCGGACCTAATTGGCCGGTCAGACCTATCCAGCGACGACGGCGGGCGGTATGGGGGCTTTGAAGGCTTTCGAGATTGGGATTGAAATTTAGGGTTTTTATTCGGGGACTGAGGGTTCAGAGATGGGGGAGCTACGAAAGAGTACTTGGACCGGAGTTCCGAGGCGGCGGCGGCGGCAGTTGAAGAGAATAAGCGATGCCGAGAATTTTCCAGGCGTATTTTCAGGCGGAAGAGACGGCTGATAACGGCGGTGGTCTTCATTTCATGTCATCGGAGCCGCCGCACGGTGTGGGATTAACTTGAAACTTGCAACATTTTGGGCTTTTATATTGTGATCATACATAGACTCTTTTCTTTTCGAGAAAACTTCATCCATCAATCAATCCAAGTCATGGGTTCAAATCGAAGCCTCCGAGTGACCTGCCATACATGGCTAGTATTTGTGTGTCGGACTTAATTTGCAGAGCATTAGATTCGGACGAGAGTTTACTTAGTGAGCACTTTCGAACAACGATTGCGAATTTTTACGTCATAAAAAAAATAAAAAAAATGACAGTTGTGTACCAATGTACCTACAAGTAGCTAGATATTGACCAGTTATTCAATTATGTGTTTATTTAACTAGAAAAAATATAAATAAATTTAATTAAATAAAAAATTAAAATAAAATAAATAAATACTCTATCCATCTTAATTCAAAATAATTTTTCTAGCATTTTTGTACATTTCACTCAAAGTATTTTTCTTCAACCATACATTGAAAGGTAACTCAGCTTGTATTCCGTTATCTAAAGGTACATCTCACTTCTGGCTCTTTTTTTCTTCTTAAGGTAATCTCAGTATTCACTGATGTTGATTGGGGCTCGTGCTTGTACACCCGTAAATCTATTACGGGGTATTGCATCTTTCTTGGTTCCTATCTTGTGTCTTGAAAGATAAAAAAATAGGTCACAGTGGCCAAGTCATCTGCTGAAGCTGAGTATCGAGTCATGGCCGCCACTGTCTCCGAACTTCTGTGGTTTACATACTTGTTACGTGATATGCAGATTACTCTTCCTCTTCCTATATCTGTATTTTGTGACAACCAATTGGTTATTCAGATGGTTCAACATCTAGTCCATCATGAGCGCACAAAACATATCGACATTTATTACTGCCACCATTTTCACTCCGGCCTAATTGTTCCTTTGTTCATCCCTTCTTCCACTCAGTTTGTTGATATCTTTACTAAGGCCACCTCTACAACTACCTTTAGTGTTTTTCTTGTCAAGTTGAACTTGGGCATTGCATCCTATGTCCAGCTTGCAGAGGGATAGTGAACGCAAGCAAGACTAGTCACCGTGACAATGAATACAAAAAGAAAAAAAAAAAGAAACTCAAACTCAACAGATTCTGCAATAAATCCAATATAGGAGCACACATGTTTTGTTATATCTATTGTAAATTAGTGATGGTTAGTTTAATTGTTATTTTGGTTATTAATCAATTACTTGTTACACAGTTAGTTTTCATAGAAATCTCTGGAATCAAACTAGGCAAATGTATATAAAACATGTATTTTGAAGATGATAATTTTGAATATATGAATTTCTGTCATTCTCCATTCTATCTCCTCTTGCAACATTTCTTTTTGGATTTGTTTCAAATACCCACAATAAAATGTACTCCAATTGCTTGATTTGAATCAAACAAATTGGAAGAACCAACATACAAAATCGACTTCTAAGCCTAGATGCACCATTAGCAGCAAACCAAAAAACCTTAAAGCAATTTGAGTAAAATTCAATGACAAGAAAATCATCAGCAAAAATCACTCATCAATATCCCAAAAATCCAATCCAAAAAACACGCAGTAAGAAAATATTTTATGTTTTGGTTTCAAGAGATATTTTTTTATGTGAAATACATGAAATTTTATGAATAATATAAAAATAATAAGCGTATGCAATATATTAATTTTTGGAGAAAAATATGTTGAATAATTTTCACAAAAGAAACAAACCAATTAAACAAGAAACAATTGCGCTCCGGACGGAATAGAATAGGCCCCTCTTATCCCGACAAAGGAAGAGGCAACAGATGAAGAAGATGAAGACAGGGACGGAAGGACGAGACGGGAGGCGAAGACACGACGGAGTAAGGTCGCGGCTTTGTTTGGTTTATGTTTTTATTTTATTTAATTATTAATTTTAATTTTAATGTTGTATTTAAAATTAGAGAAAAATCAATAGGCATCTCAATACAATCAAAATACATTCATTGTGGTTCAAATATACAAAATTCATCAATTAAGTCTTATTATAAATAATTTCAATTAATTTTGGTCTCAATATTCAAAAATCAACTGAAATTGCTAATATAAACATAGCGGGATTGACATGACAGCTAACCTGGACATAACATGATAGTATATAATTATATATGTCAATGTTGCCACAGGGCCGTATTTAATTGTACACAAGTGTATAAATATTTACGTCCATATACCATGATGGTGTATGAACACGACAATGTGTGTCAGTGAACACGGCCGTGTACATCCGAACACACAGGGCCGTATACATCCGAACTGGACTTCAACATTCCCGCGATTAAACACGGCCGTCTATATATCGAAACATGGCCGTGTTAGGTTGTTTATTCAGTTTTCTCTCTTGTAGTAAACACAGTTGTGATTCATTTAATCATAGTCATGTTTATTATTATTTTGATCTAAAATTGTAATAGTAAAAAATTTGAATTGAAATAGTTTTATGATGTGATATAAATAAGTATTAATGTGATATTTTGAATGTAAAATCGATTTTTAGTATAATATAAAAAATAAAAAATATGTAATTGATTTGATATTTTTAGGAGAAAAATTTGTATAAATAGTCAAAATCCTTCAAGCAAACACACCAGCCTTTTGTTTAAGCTACATTGTTTTCAATATATATATATATATATATAGTTATCATACAACTATTGCAATTTTTAATAAAAATATATTATTATTTTTTTATGAAAATTGTACTCCTTTCATCCCACATCAATCATTTGGAGTGTTGTAATATATTAAGAAATAATAGTATTTTATTAGTTAGTGGAAGTGTGTAAGAATTTTTTATATTTTTGCCCTTTGACTTTATGTATAAATAAATTATATGTGTAATGATATATTTGTAATTTAAATAAAAGTTATGAGTATTTTGATATTAATATATGATTAATTTTTCTAAAATAAGAAATTAAAGTGATACTTGAAATTAAGACATAAAAAAATGTATTTTGAATTGGGACGGAAGTAGTATTAAACTATTGTACAAAGACAGTTATAAACACAAATGCAAATACAACGGTTTGTTACTTTATTATTTTAATAAAAAATAATATTTTTCATGCACCATAGTTTTTAATAAAAATATATTCTTTCTCTCTCATAAAAAATCATATTCCTTCAGTCTCGGAACAATGGTCTTATTTGTGTTGGCACGGCTTCAAATCATAAACAATCGTATTCCCTCAAATCAATTTCAAACTGCAGCCAAACAAACCTTAAATCAATACATATGTATGGCTCGGCTTCAAATAGTATGTTCCATTTTCCCTTATTCCGTATGTTCTATCCACTTACATTTTTACAGTTTGCTGATGTGGAATGAACCCTATATATAAGTATTTTTTTATATTTTATCATTTGTTTTTAATTAAAATAATTTTTATTAAAATTTATCAATTAAGTTTGCGCGAAAAGAACACGAGATTCAGATCTCTTTAATCATCTACCCAAAATTAACCAGAGTCGATGCGGTTCGAAGATGGTTGCTATGGTCAGAACTTCACCGGTCCACCAGCAGAAGAAGTTGACGCAGCGCTACAAAAATTTCATTTATACAATCACCCTAATCCATTGCCGCTCCCGCATCAATCCATGGTCAGGTTAGTTACTCAATGCCGATACCTTAGCAACTATTGTAATTGAAAACTGTATATTTTAGAACCGGTTAGGAAATTATGGCAATATTGAATCTGCCCACCAATTGTTCGATGAAATGGTGCCAATAAATTTGCCTACTAATTATTACAAATATAATCTACCCTACACCGAAAAATTCATAAAATTCTCAAAAACTTGATTATTTTCTTTTCAAACCTCTGATAAGATAATCATATATAATTTCTTTCTTATTTCTACTTTCAATCTACTTATTTTATTTTTTATTTATCTATTTTGAATAATCATAGATAATGTTAATTGATGATATCAAAGGATAATGCTGAGAAGAAAATGGAAAGACAGTATGCAAGAACAAGAACTTGCTATAGTTACGAGGTTGAGCTACTTGTAAGTTATTACACCAGATTTTCTGTCGTAGAAATTTCGTATTTTCTGCATAAGGATATATTTAGTGCTTATTTCACTTGTTGAAGTCGAAGAAGAATGTTATTGTCATTGTTTGAGTGTTACTACTAATTTAGTTTTTTTATGGATTAGATTGGATTATCTTTCTTACTTCATTTTGGACTATATCGTCTTATTTAATTGTATGCTACTCTTTATGTCACGTTGTTGAATTATAAATTTGTCTGTATTATCGATTTCTATTGAAACTCAAATTATACTTACATATTGTGTATACAAGGAATTCATAGTGGCAAACATCACTCTAATAATATTTTATCAAATGATTTGATACTACCAATTCATTCTTTCTTTCCTCAAAATAAACACATGATCCTTAAATGTGAATGGTATAATTATGTTTAATTTTATTCCTTATATTATATTAGTTTATTAATTAAATATTAACTCAACAATTGGGTTGCATGAATCCAAAGAATGCAAATTCAAAATATAGAATATTAAGATTCACTTTTACTAATTGCGGGAATACAAAACATATAAAATTACTATGGTTAAAATTGAATAGAACATTTTAGACTATATAATAAAGATATATATTCTTATTTTCAACAAACAATAATTGATCTTCAAATTCAAAAGTTCTTGATATTACTGACACTTTAGATTTTGATTTATAGTCTCCAAAAGAAGAATTCACACATTTTAATTTTATAATCAAAATAAAGACAAAATAAATTTGTCAATTTAGAAGATGTAGATTTTTCAATATTTAAGTGATTTGCTTCATGATTACTTTGAACCTGAACATGTAAAAAAACAAACAAGTGAATATAATTTATTTTATTTTGCTGAAAAATAATATACAAAAGAATTAATAATAATAATAATAAAAAATTACCTTGAGCAATTAAGTGAATTTGATAGGATAGTTTAGCCCGCCAGAAAAATAAAAAAAAAAATAATATAATAAAAATTA